CAGGATCAGAGTGAGTATTAACAAAAGATGAACACCAATATAGCCAGAGGAAGAAAGAAACGTGTTGTTTTCTACCTGTAATTGTCTCCATTTTGCGCCTCAGAAGTCATTTTGTGTTTCGGTCGACTGTCTGAGTCAAACCACAATTTGTGCCGTCGTCAGTGATTGTTGTTTTCATTACTTGTAGTCTGTCTCATTTCTACCTAATTATCTTAAATGTTAATGTTAAACCAAATGAAGACAGCACCCATAAGGCTATTACTCACAGTGTGAAGGGATCCTAGACCGTTTTAATGACGCTGTGATTTAACTGCACACAAAACAGTGACTCCAAATGTAGCTCAGAGTGCTGAAGCAACAGGAACGGCTATTTTAAGAACAAAACATGTGGGATTGATTACTACAACTGGTCCATTCATTTTATACTCAGTGCTCATCGTAGCACATGGAAACAGATGTTTCATCCTCGTTGTGGACATGCAGCGTCAGCGTTTTTAAATCATAGTTTCAATGCTATTTCAACCTTCATGCAACTCTAATGTTCCCGTTTAGTGGACAGACTTGCTGAAGACACAGGAGGCACTGACTGTACGCATGTGTATATTTCTGAGTCTCTTAAAGGTATATACAGTATGTATCAAAGGCACTTTAAAATGCTTAATTCTTCAAATGCAGCAGGTATTTTAGTAAAAACATAACTTGAAGGTAACTAACTACTAATTGCTCTTTGCCCCTTCTCTCTTTCCAAAAATCATAGATTTTTATACTTTAATTTTATCCCATGAAGCTCTGATCCTCATTCAAAACAATCAGGATCACCGTCTTCCGATTGGTGCATCATTTTAACATCTGTCACCCCTCTCACAGTGTGTTTAAGTGTTTCATTGCCTCACACGTTTGTGTTCTTTCTCATGTTGTGCTGCAATCATCTTCAACACATTCCTCTCCATCCATCATGACTCCACCCGCTTCCCTCTCCATGTCGTTGTTGTCAACCTCCATGCACCACCCTGATTCCCGGCAGACACTGCAACTCCTCCATGTGACCGCGCTGATGAAGGGGTGTGTCTTTGCAGGTCATAGAGCCTCCTTCCTCAACAAGGAATGCAAACCGGGAGCAAAGGACTTCTCCTTAAAAAAAAAAGTGGAAAAAGAAAGAATTACCCCTCGTCATCATGATCCTCTGAAGGACTGTGTGTGTGTGTGTGTGTGTGTATGTCTGTGTGTGCGCGTGCGTGTTAATGTGTGCCAAACCTCAGGAGTCACTGCACTGGCCCAGGCTCACGCACACCGACAGAACGAGTCTCACTCTCCCTTTAAAGAAATCATTTTGTTTACATACTTGAAGCAATGCACTTTTTTTTAATTTTCTGCCCAAATTTGTTGGCGGTCGATTCTTTTATTTTATTTGTCCCAGGACACATATGTTGTTTTTAAAGACTGGAACAATATAGAGGTCATGTTTTTTTGGGGTGGGTCATTTAGTTTTAGACTTGCAAACATTCAGGGAAATCCCTTCTTCATGCATTAACTACTTTGTGGCGGCTTCCTGGTTTGCCTGCTTTTGTTACCGTTCCAGCTGTTGGTGTTTGTGCCAGAGTCTGAGTTTGTTTGAGGAGTTCAGGTTATTGAGTTACTTCACACACCTCAAATGTCCCAAGAGGCACAGAGCGGTCTAGTGCAGGCTCTTCGTGGACTTCTGAACTTGATATGGAGGAGGAAAGACTCGCTGCCTGTTCGTGGATGCTCCAAATAAGCTATTTCTCATGAATGAAAGACGTTTCCAGAGACAACAGCTGCACAGACTGACGGCCTTCTCAGCCTCCGAGGGGGCAAAGCTGCATCAAAGGACTTTTGATGAATTTTTTTTGTAAGTCACTGAGAGCGCATTTTTTATGGACGTTAAAAGCGCTCTCGTTTTGCATCGTTTTTCCTGGAGTGATAAATGCATTCTTTCGAGTCCAGTGACTAAACAGCTGTATTTTATAGATTAGCTATGGAGCTTTTGTGATTTGTAAAATAATGCGAAATTGTGCTGTAATACTATTTGAGCTGTAATCCATTTTTACTGTACAGAGTGGCCTGTAAATGAATCAAGGACAAACATTTAAATGTAGGTAAATATGTAAAACACTCAGAACCTGTTTTTAAGTAATCGCTCTTGATCCTCGGGAGGAAATATCTTTTATCTCGGTTACTACGTTCAGTCAAATGATGTGATATTTGTGGATGCCATTTTACCAACCATATGCATTTAATGTAAAGATTTGATGCCATAAGAAACAACCGTACCAGGTCAATCATATCAACTCTGGTATCCCATCAGATAAGTATCTCTTTTACTCTGCCACTTCCTGTTTTTACTGATTAAAATGTTTTCTACCATTTCCATCTTGCCTAAAGTTTTTATCAGTGCCAAGTTAAATTCACTGTGTGTGTTTACAGCTTTCTGCTGATATCAAATGTGCATCCTACAACTGTACGAATGAAATAATGATTCACTATAAAAAGGGACGTGGTTACATGTTTGTGTTCTCTTAAATAAATTACACTTTTTTGTTGTTTTGCAGCTCATGGTTGAAGCGAAAGTTTAGCATTGTGAGAAATACACATATTTACATCACCGCTTTACATAGTATAGCATTTCATAAAAAGTCCTTAAAAAGTCCTGCTATAGTATGTCATGAAAATGTGAAAAAAAAGTTAGAATACAGTTCATCATAGAAATGTCATTAAAAGTCATGGTATAGTATGTGATGAAAAAGTCAAAGTAGATTATGCCATAAAAATTTGTCAAAGTAAAGTATGTCATAAAAAGTCCTCGTATAGCTCTCATAAAATATCACGGTATAAGATGCCACAAAAATGGCATAAAAGATGTCACAAAATAGTCATAGTATGTCATTAAAATTATAAGTCATAGTATGTCACAATAAATTATAAAAGTCATAGTATGTCATTAAAAATTCCAAAACTAGAATTACCACATTGCAGTTTTATTTTTCTGCCAATTAATCCAGTTTCAGTTTCCTCACTTCATTATTGTATAATTTTAGACATTTGTTTTTTGTCATATTTATTCATGACTAATTAATTACACTTATTATTTCAAGTGGATGTACCATACATGCATACTGTACACACGGATGGACGAACAGGCAACCCAACACAAAAACACAATGCTTCCAGCCATAACAGGTCATAGTAGAGTATGTCCTACAAAATGTCATTAAAAGTCATAGTTTAAACAAGTCATTAAAAAGTCAGTATAGTGTGTCATGAAAATGTCATAAAAGTCATGATATACTGTGTCATGATTGATATGATCATGATCATGTTTCATGATCACCTCCATCTTAAATGTTAATTTTGAACCAAATGAAGACAGCTCCCATCCTCCTGTTATCCACACTGTGAACATCAGTGTGGAGGATCCTAACCAGCTCTCATGATGTCATGATTTAACTGTTATGATCTGTAGTTGAGTGAAAAAGCGACATGAACAGCTATTTTCAGAGCAGAACATCTGACCAATAAACTATCCTCACATCTACTGTATGCGAGTACTCATCCTGTCGATATCTTGTGCTTTATACTTTCAGTATTCATCTTCGAGTGAGACAGATCTAACCTTTTCTAATCATCATAAACCTGTCATGGGAAACTTGAGTCCTAGCAACAATTAGCTTACATTACTTCAAGACATATTGAACCAAGGAGAGACGAGGCATTAAAACTCACTAGGTGGTGCTAAAGCTGCTCTTTAGTGTTCCTTGTTCATCAGACGTCCTCTTATCCTTCCTGCTGAGCTCCAGCTGCTTCTAAAATAGAAACAAAGTCAAGATTTCATTAAATGCAGTATATAATGAATACTTTCATTACTAATTTATAAACTTCTCATCTTTGATTGATAAACTAGTCTAACTGTAAATGTATGTTATACACAACTTGATAAGTAATAAGCCATAAAGAATTCTTAATATTGAGTTAAAGATGTTTCAGTAAAACTGTCTCTAACTAGATGTAACAGTAGAAAAGCTGTACTCACAATGAAGAGGAGGCTTCAGATTCTTACTGAGATACACCGCTGTACATGTGTGCATGATTTCATTCATAGTTTGCAGCGTTTCTTTTAAAAACAAAACGTTTCTACTCGTTACTACTTGAAACTTCTTCAAAAGTATCATTTCCAGAATTTAGAGCAGTGATTTCCAACATGGAGGTCACAAGATAAATCAGAGAAGATATTTTAAAACACAAGAGGATTTACAAGATAGAAAAACTAGAATGAATATATTATTTTGCAAGACAAATCGATGCTTATTGTTTAAACTGGTCACAACCAGTGTACACATGCAACCAGTTAAGAGGAGTTGCAAGTCGACAATGTTTTAACGAGTCACAAGCTACTGATTTACACAAATAATGATGCAACTTCTTCACCTGAGACAAAAGCATTGGTATGATACAATCGAGACGTAACAAATCATTTTATTAAAAAAAGATGTATTTGTATAGATGCAGACATATTCAGTTTAAATACAATCTAAAATGAATCTTTTATATATTCATATTTTTTTCATAACACTGGGAATGGACTACTTTTAAAACAATTTGCATCTAGCAACAATTCTATGACCAAGCAGCAATTAGCACGGCAACTATGACAAAAGCATGTTGAAGAGTTTGTATACAAATGCACAAAAGCACAAACAATAAAACACACATATTTGCAAACTTCAGATCTGTGTCAACTCCTCATAAATACTGTAAATCCAACAAAAGGAGGACAGCTCGAACATTATTCGTTTGTCACCTGTTCATCTCCGTACTTCATAAATACAAGAAAAATAATTTCCTGATCAGAATCCCTGTCACACGTTTGTTAGTTTGTCTGGAGTGTTTTCAGTTTGAGTCGTCGAGGCTGCTGCTTTTCTGCTCTGAGCCGCAGTTGCAGAGCCGGACCACGATGCTCTGCAGGCTGGGCTCCACGATACCGAGCAGGGGCCTCTGGGAGGGGTCCCCGTTCCAGCAGGCCTCCATCAGCTGCCAGCATTCCTCGTCAAAAGTGGGCAACCGTTCAGGTCTGACTCCTGGAGGCAACGTGGACACAAGTGAGCCAACAAGACAGAATCACACAGAGAGTCTTCAGATAGTGAACATCAGCGCTTCATATCTGAAGCCCGACATGTTCCGAGGGAAGGTTTCTCATTTGTATGCCAGCCTCAGTAAGCACTTAGGTCATAGAGGTAACAGTTACGGTGCTTTAACAGCTCATCTGGTTTGTTCTGTTCAAACCAACTCTGGTCCAACCAACCACAGGTTTTACAATTAACATGAATTCAAAGCTAAAATACTTTTAAATCTTTCTTCTGGCCATCAACAAGGACACAATCTTAAGGAATACTTCATCCTCAAACTGACCATTTGTAAATCACTTACTCCAGGTTACCTTGAATTCTTGAAGAAAACTTTGTTTTCTTGCACGTCTTCACGGTGAACGGAGAATCAAAAGACAGTGAAAAGTCTTGATGAGTTGAACTAGACGTGGGCCGCGTTTAATAACAGCAAAACTACATCAAAACAGTTTACACTCTCAGTCGTGCAGTAAAATATACGTCTTATTCATTTAGTTGTACGGTCGCTACTTCCCAAGCACATGCATCTTTGCTTAAACCGTACTATTAAAAACTCTTCAGACCCACGCTGATGAGTAGCACATCTGCAGATGACTCTTAATGTGAAAGGGTTTCAAGACGTTTCTGTTTTCTGATGCTCCGTTCACCGTGGAGGCATGCGAGACAAAAGTTTTCTTCAAGAATTCAAGATGTGGCGAGTAATTGATATACAAATGGACAGTAATCATTACATTATGTTTGAGACACCTGTTTCTTCATTCCGTTTCTTTCTTTTTTCACCTGTTTGTTCTCATCATAGCATGAGGTCTCGACTAAAACACATCAGTTATTTCCTCGTGGATCTGTGACATCAGAGAATGTAAACAAACGCATTAGAAGCATTGAAGTGTCACCAGAATATGATTTCCTTATAAAACCATAAAAATCTCCAATCGGTTTGTATAACGTCATGTTTACTGCTCTTGGGTTGTTTGTAAAAGGTCAGTGTGAACACAAACTGGACCAGAACTAAAAAGGTAACAAAATATTTATTTCCATCAATCTGAACCAAACGAACCACACTACAGGTGTGAACGCGTTTATTACCTTTTTTAACGTTATTCCAGAGCTGGTCCTTACTGGAGCATCTCTCAAAGGCTTCTGGGAGTTTAACTGAACCAGTGCAGAGGTACCAGAAAAGGATCCCGAAGGCGTAAACATCAACCGAGTTATCATACTTTCCTGTTAGGAGAAGGGTCACAATGAAGAGGAACTCTTAAAAAGACGGAAATAGAGCATTCCTGCACAATTCAGTGTAAGTGATGACATAAGATGCGATGACAAATCTCAGTTCTGACACTGTGTATATAGAAAGGTCTCATTACAGGGTTCTCCTCTCAAGTAAAGAAACATCTGCTTGTTCAGACAGTTCTGACCTGTTAAACCTTTTGAAGTTGTACCTCAGGAGTTGCTTCATGATGAACTTATGGACCGTATGACTGCTCAGTAATCGTACCTGTAAAAAGCTCTGGAGCCATGTGGATGGGGGTCCCGACGATGCTGCCGGACATCATGGCCTCCGGTTTACAGAAGCCCAGATCGGTGATCTTTGCACGATTTTGTTTGTCCAGCTGGAAAAGGAACAGCAGACATCAAAAGTGAGGGAAGCGCTGGTTAGGTCAGAGTATAGCGCATCCCTGAAGCGTTGTGATACAGCTGCCTTAGAAGTCACAGACTCAAAACGTTAGCTGAACTTCTAGTTGGTCTGAACTTACCAGAACATTCTTTAGCTTTATGTCTCTGTGCAGGAGGCCCTGGCCGTGCAGGAAGCGGATCCCCTCCACCACATCCAGAGCAATCTGAAGTCTCTCCCTCAGTGATAAACCGGCCTGGTGGAGATGGAGAGAGAAAGAAAGGAGACTAGAGTGAAATGTTACCTTTAAAACAAGAATATGTCTCTTTTTCCAACCTCGGCATTGTCAAGTCACCTTCAAGCCCGTGTAGAGGTCTCTGTGCAGCCGCTCCATGATGAGCAGCACCGCGATGCTGGAGCCGCCTCCGTAGGTGTGATCGATCACAGAGCCATGCAGGTCCACGAGCCGCTCATGCTTGGGCAGAGACCTGAAGCAACACACATCCTACTTCAGTAACATGATCATAAAAGGAATCATTTTTTATGCTAAAGTGGCAATCCTTAAGATTTCAGTCCCGGTTGATCAGAATTTCTATTGGAGTGAAAAGAAAAACTACAAATACATCAATTATGCAATACTTTCATCAGTGATAGATACCAAATAAACATCATTTCTGTCAGTGATCATCTTAAAGCTTGCCACTGACTTGAAGTCACAGTATATTGATGTATGTCTTGTTTGTCCACATAAAGTAGTTTTCCGGCATTCCTTAATTAGACACGTTCAACATGCGCACAAGGCTTCAACAGTCAAAACTATTTCTTTCATATACTGGGTGGAGTTTATAACAAGGCAACTGTCATGTCCAATGAAAACATGTCTGTGCTTGATGAATGCAGCTGTCGCTCTCACTAACTCACCTCATGTAGTGGAACTCCAAAGCCAGGTCGTTCCAGTGTTTGTCATCAGGCGGTACCACAGACTTCAGGGCACATGGGTAGTGTCCTCCCCAACTGTCACACAGGTACACAACTCCGTACTGACCCCGACCCAACTCTCGCCCGAGCTTCGGCTTTCCTGTCATAAAACAACATTTTTTTACACTAAAATACACGCACAAAAAAATGTTTTGCAAATGTGTAATGTATGTGTAATTGACTGGTGGGATATTTAATGATACCAGAGTCACAGGTGCAAAAGGTACAATTTAAAGAGGGTACGTTTTTGCCTGACTTTTCCTTTCTGTGTGTGAACAATGGGAGGATTTGATGGTGACTCACCATGCAGCAGCACATCCCTGAGGGAGCGGCTCTCCAGAGACAGGCGGGCCAGCCGAGGGGCGTGGTCCTTCCTCACACGCAGCCACAGGTCCTCCGTGCGCTCCAGACGACCCGTGTGCCCTTCCTCAAGCTACAAACGCCAACACATGACATAATATCTCATGGTTAGCATAACAAAATAGCTGCTAAATGACTAGCTTCATTTAACGGTTATTCATCAGACTTCACCATCGTAGAGCAACGGCTAACGTGCCGTACTTTTACTTACTTTCAGCGAGGACTGCCCTCAGGTTCTCAGTGACTACAGGCCAGCTGCCTTGACCTCGGTGGTTGTGTAGTCATTTGTCAGACTCGTTAATGCAGAGAGCCAACACAGTTACTGCTTGATGTATCTCATAGTTATTTTTACCCAGAGGCTGACAGTACAGGGTTGAGTTCTCATCACTGGTGTTTGCTTTGTGCTCAGCTGATACTTTTAAGGCAACATCAGAACATACTGTAAAGGTTGCTGGATCTAAAGATTGTGTTCTGTAGTCTGGCTTATTGTGTAATGATAGTGTTCATTTTAAAAGCTAAAAATCTCACTGGCCTCTTTTAAATCACCTCAAGACTCACTTTTATTTCTGTTGTTTTACTTGTACTTTATATTTGTTGACTGATCTTGTATTTGACTGCTCTCCTGCTTTCATTTATCTGCTCTCGTATGTGAAGCCCTTTGAAACGACAATGTTGAAAGATACTATTAAAGTTATTATTATTATTAATTTATTCAATAATAATCAGATTAATAAAATATTGATGGCCTGAAAACTGTATTTAGCCATCATACGTCCGTTCACTCTGATTATTAAGTTTAAATTATTACTTGCTATTTAACTGACTTATTTGCTTGGTAAAGTATGCCAAGTTCATTCACATGTCTAACGTCAGTTGATCATTGTTTTATGCAGCGTTGCTTAAGAGAAATGGATCAAATGTACGCATCTTTCACGATACACTATTAGGCAATTAACTGCAACAATTATGTATCACATCGTTGCTGCTCTGGGGATCAGAATAAGTGCTGAGTGTATTTGTCATGTGTTCTTTTCAGGTCAGAATAAAGGACCCCTCTTTTAAATGCCTATAAGACCAAAAAGGCTTTATTTCCCTCTGATAATAATCTCTACTTTGCCTTTACAGCACTTTGTATTCGTTACATTTCCTCCATATCAAATTGCGTACCAACACACTACAGGCCAGAGTTTCTATCTCTATAATTTACTGCTCGCTCTACTTGTGATTCTAAAAGGAACATGACGGAACAATAATAATGTTTTATGAGGTTGCCGTGTTTGACCCGCACTCCATCACTCAGTCAGATAAATAAGTAAATTAAGTCAGGATATTTCTGTCCATCAAAAGCCTTGAACATAGAGCGTCACAATATCATTTCCTACATTAATGTGTATCTTTAATTGCAAGCGCAGAAATGTAGTCAGACCCACACTGTCTGTCATGTGATAATTATCATCAGAGCAATTTCACTGGAACCGATTTGTCAGGGACTTCAAGGAAGGAGTCGGAGCCATTTGCACACTGGAGCTTTAAAGGCCAAGCAATTCAAGTGAAGAGGAATACGTTGCTGAACCACGAGCTGTGCACGGCTTGAGTCAATAAAAGCCGTCTAAAGTGATGAAGATGTGCATTCAGACCGGTTGCCTGGTGCAAATTCTCCTCGTCTTATTTAATAAGGGTGTCCTGGAAGTCATGTTATATCAGGAAGAGATTGTTGCCACATTTCAGCCTGCTTGTCCTTTTTACAAAGCCCTGTTTTTGTTTTTCTTAAATCGACCTTTCACACCTACAGTATCTCACACTGGCGATTAGAGATGGCAATTGATAAGCTGTGTAGCCCTGGGGAATGAGAGGCTCGCCTCTATGCGAGGTCTTCAACCTCCGGAAGAATTTTTTGTGCATTCTGGAGGAAGCTGGGGACATGGGATCAGAGTGGGCCACGTTCAAAGCCTCCATTGTGGAGGCGGTGGCTTGGAGCTGTGGTCAGAAGGTCATCAGTGCCGGTCGTGGCGGCAATGTAAGAACACGCTGGTGGACACCAGCGAAGAAGAGGCCTTTCGGGTTTGTCTCAGCAGCAGAGAGGTACTGGTTGGCCAGAGGAGCTGCAGCTGTGGCAGTTGTGTAGCAAAAACCCAGGTGTGGGATGAGTTCGACGAGTCTATGTAGAAGGACTTTTGGTTGGCCTCAAGTAAGTTCAGGCAAACCGTTAGATGATTCAGAAAGGAGTAGCAGGCTCAGCTCAGTTTGCCCCTCCAGGCTACATGTGTTTTGTGGACTTGGAGGGTGAGGCGTCGTTGGGAGGGTTAGACCATCCTCTCAAAGAAGTGGTTGTGTAGCCAGCTATGTTTTATTGCACAATTTTTCGCATGGATAGGTCTGTAAGCAGCTCAGACGGAGAACATTTCATCCGCCATAGCCTGACTTAACATCCACTAGTGGTTTGATGGTTGATGAAAATTATGTTTAGATGGAAACATCAGACTGTAAGAGACTTAAGCCAAAATATGGTCAGTAAAAGTTACTGTCCGTTTTTTGATCTATAATCAAGATGAACTTAGGAAAGCAACAGAGCACAGTGGTACAGGAATGGAGAGAGAAAGGTGAGAAAGATAAAGTTCACCTGGCGCAGAGATGCTGCGAAGGCCTCATGGGAGCTGTTGAGGCGGGTTCTGAACTGGGAGCAAATGCTTCTGGCCAGTTTGGCAGCACTGAGGCTTTCTATGGCATCCTGGGCCACTTTGCGCTTCCACTCTGGGCTGACGGCAGGAGGGTTCACGAACGTTATCCTGTGGATTATCTAGAGGCAAGACACGGAGTAAGAACACCTCTTCAGAAGTCACTGATCACCTTGCGGTTTGAAAGGCGTATTGCTGAATGTATTAGACACTGACCTGTTTGATTTGCTCCCAGAAGAGTCTTGAGACAGAGGATCCTGAATGAAATGTGACCTCCACATGATAGGCAGCATTTAGTAACTGTGGCAGATGAGAAGAGGGAGTAAATATGCAGCAAATCCACTTCCTATGATATCAGAATAACGTCTGTTGGTCTTGTGGCACTGAAGGCTAGCGGATATGACGAAGGATAATGAAGGCTACGCTTCATAAAATGTCACTTGTCTTTGTAGGAAAACCCCTTTTTTATTATTTGTACTGTTAATATGTGCCTGATCCCATGTTGAACCCTTTGTTTTGGTTTGCTTTTCTACTAACTTTCTATTGGTTCACAATTAGGTTTAGATGATTAAATGAACAGTAGACGGGTGACAATTTCTAATCCAACGTCAAAACCCTCAAATTTTCCCTCAAAAACTTTCTAATCTGATTGCAGACATTTGTCATATTGGAGCCTCAGTCAGAAATCCTTTTGTATGTAAGTTTTCTTCACAAAGAAAATACATTTTAATATTATTAGCAGTAGTAGTAGTAATAATAGTAGTAGAAGTATTAATAAATATGGTCATACTGCTCACATTAAACATTCTAGACAAGCAAACTAAACACGGTTCCTGTTTTTCACAAAGGACCGCCCACCTGTTTGAGGTGATTGGAAGTGATATTGTGGACAGAAGACTCCATGTGTGACTTCTCCAGACTGTTGAGACATCGCTCCAGAGTTCCTACGAAGCTCTCCCTCAGATAGTCCACAGAGCTGATCAGCTTGTTAGCCACGGCCTGATTCAAACGAACCACTATCAGCTCCTGGATCTGGTGGATGCACGATTTGATCTCCTTCGACGTAACAGGCTCTCCATTAGTTGTTACGATGACGTCTGCAGTTGAATGAAAATAGATCATCAAGTTAATATGTGGTGCAAGCCATCAACAGCACAGAGCTCCTGATGAATGAATGCTGTCAGACATTAGTACGAGACAGTCTGGATGTTGACGATGCAGACACACCAAGAGTCTCTGGAGGGTTGTGCTAGATTCTGTGCGCTCTACAGAAACTTGTTCATCCTAGTTGGCTACTTATAGCACTGTGTAGTTTAACATTATACAGAAATGAGTCACTGTCATTTAGCTTAGACAAACCCTCTCTGTATAACTTCATATAGTTCAACAGCACCACAAACTGCAGCCTCCAAAGTGACCCCCCAGTTGAATCAACACCTCTCTATCCGCATTATAACCTTCTAGAAGGTAGGGTTTATTGCAGGGCCCTTGTATCGACCCTTTTGGTGCCATGATAATGATTACGTAACAGTGTTAGCTGGAAGCGAAACAAAGGAGAGAATGGAGAAAAAAATGGTATCATCTCAGAGCGGTACACTAAAGTTACACACTGAAAATGTATTCTTGCTATTTTGTTGGGTGCCAGAACTGACGTATGGCTGAAACTTGAAATATTTTCACACCCTTTAGAGGTCGGTGGTAATGGATTTATAAAGGCCAATATAATAGTGATAGTTTGGAGCAGGAAAAAGCTGATTGCACATTTATCGGCTGATACTTATCGAAGGCTGATAGCGGCAAGATGAGTGAGACGGTGCAAAACTTTGTGGGCAAAAATGCAGGTCTAAAGTCTCTGCAGGTCTAAAGTCTCTGCAGGTCTAAAGTCTCTGCAGGTCTGACTAGACTCTAAACACCGTAAAGAAACTGGCTTTGAGAGACTCAGGCTGCTGATTAAAAAGCCTGGCCTTCGGCAGAATCACAAATATAAGAGAGAATGGATCAAATAAAATAATCTGAATGGGTATCACGAGTCAGCTATCTTTATTTAAATAGAAGAATAATAAAGAGGGAATCCTTTCTCATTAAGTGGAAGATTTCGACAGCAAGATAAACAATGAACACAATGCAGTCATTTGTGAGTAATCCGATATGAAGCCACAGAATCCAGGTTACTGAAGTCTATGACAGAAAATCACATTTCTGACAATCTAGAATAAGATTTTATAAAGAAAACATCTTCATTGTAGAAAGACTCATAGGTTATGATTTAGTTGAACTCACGAGTAGAGAAACACTAATATTCATAAATTAAGATAATTGAGTAGATTAGATCACATTTTCAAAAACCCCTTTGATATTTTAACTTTCATCTGAAGAGGAAATTCACCTTTTCTCTTTTTTTTTTTCCAAATCAGTAATTCAGTCCACGTCTGGACTGAATCCAAACACGTTGTCACAAATGACTTTATGGTCATGAAGACTACGGCCTTTTCAAAACATAACTTGTTATTTACTAAACGCATGCATTTAATAACAGTGATAAATAGCCAGAAACGTATAAATCATTTTTGTTGACTGCACAGCAAAGACGAAAACAACAGCACATGATAAACTCACTGCTGATAATGTGAAAGTATTTGCAATATCCATTAGAATCACAAGCTTGTACATACATTAGTAATTAGTATGTACTACATCATAAAAGAGCTAATTAAATTGGAAGTACAAAGATGGAAAGATCTCGATTGGGGAACAGTCCCAAATAATCATTTTGAGCTTTAGTGATCTTTTACAGTAATATCCTGTCAAACACTTATTTGCAAACTGTAAAACTGACTTAACTCCTTCTGTTTTTGAAGCGTTACGTTAACTATAAGGACTATAACCACTATTTTGATATAATGTAATAATCAAGATGTTTCTCAAACCCGCTCCGTGTTATGAAACATCAGTTAATTTTGGTTTGGTTCATTTTAAACAAGTTCAAATTTAGGAGCAAACGTATTCATTATTTACACACCAACTTTTATCATGTAATTCTTTGTGCGTTCCACCACTTATAACACAATATCTTCGTAAGAAATATGACAAACCCTGCGCTGTGGCACTCATCCAGGCTGTTCACTCACTAACCTGTAAACTCCAGGTTGGCAGCATCCTCCAGCAGCTGCTCTTTCATGCTGCCGAGCGTTTCCACAATCATCTCCTTCATCTCTTCCTGTTTACGGTTAGCGATGGCCATAAGGGAGGTGAAGAGTTCACCCTCTTTCTCACGGGTGTACTCCAGCCTGCGGGGTGTTATCTGCAGGTCCCTCTGCATGTCAAAGGCCTGCAGGGAAGGGAAGATAAAGGTCTGAAGGGGATTTGTCATGGGCACACTGGGTCAAAAGTAGACTGAGATCAAGCAGTGCATGAAAAAAGGTAGTAACAACTCCATCATCCTCTGACCTGGTTGATGAAAATATCTAGACAGCGACAATGAACCCCATTAAGCAGGTTTGCAGCCTCCACCTGCTGGTTTTGAAGCACCTGGCGAGTAAAAGGCACCAGCAACCGATGCAGCCTTTCGAAAGCCTCACCCAGCACGCTCTGGGGCTTGGCCCCCGGGGTGGGCGTCTGTGTCGGGGCCCCACAGGAGCAGTTTCCTACTGGGCTATTAAGGAAGTCGAGGGAGATCAGCTGCTTATAGAGGGCACTCTTCTCCCTATCCCTCTCCTTTTCCCTCTCCGCATGGCGGCCGGGTTCTGGGGAGGCTGCTGGCATTGTGTCAGGAATACGGATAAAACAGATAGGAAAGGAGAGCATCTCTTTGACCTTCCACAGCTCAGCCACATGGTCTGTGCTTAGGGAGTCCTGGTTGACGGCGTAGAGGATGATGGGGATGACAGTGCGGGTGCAGTCTGCCAGGGCCTCTGCTATGGGCTGGACACTCAGACAAGGCACCACCATGACCTTTGCTTCCTAAAGACAAAGCACAAAAACAACACACATACGTTTATTTCATTTCAAGCTTTAAATACAGTCAATAATGAGGAATCATGGTTCTGTGGAGAAAGGCCAGTTCACCAGAATTTGACAAAAACATACTTTCACATTTAGTTTTCGTAAACTCCAGCCACCACTAGGAGGACACCACTGGATTTAGTTGCTGAATTTTTACTGCAATATCTACCACTGCACCAAAAACGGAAGTCAAAGGAATTTAAAGCTTTAAAAAGATAAGATAAAGATAAAGAGGTTTTTATTGTCATTGTAGTGATACAACGAAATCTCGTTTGGTATTCGTTATTTTTTACCAATAACAATGCATCAAACTATTACGTGTAATGTGAAAGCTTTTGCTTGTGGTGACAAGCTAATTGTTTTTGGATTTACAGTACACAACTTTACTGTTTAGCTTCACACATAGTGATGCAGTTAGCAGTGAATGAGCTGGATATTCTCCTCAGGAGTTGGCGTAGACCAAAAACAGAACGAGATGGGGAGTGAATATTGGGCTTATATTCACCAGATGAAACAAACTACAGCCCCCGTTAGTGTTCAAGGCATTGGAGGACAGTTTTCGAGCCAATGGATGTTAGAAGACGTCTAAACAGCCTTAACTGCAAAATGAAGAAAACAGACTTCCACACACATCACATGCTCCTTCTATTTGTGAACACCGGATGGCACATAAATATTTGTGGTGGTCTTGGGAATGTCTGCGACAGGGCAGCAAAACGACACAAGTGATAGGTTTTCTTAACCCTTGATAAATAACGACTTATACAAAAACAGTCTCGGAGAGGGCTTGAGAGGGAGACCATGACGGGGGGGAGGGGGGGGGGCAGCCCTAGAAAAGAGGCAGAAATGACCAACAGCTACACAAAGGAGACAGTCAGTCCTGTCTCCAAGAAACAAGAGCAGAGCCCATCTGAGCAGTCCCTTTAGCACAAAGATAGCCTACAAACATTTGTTCACAACTAATCAAAATCAAGACAATGTATTAACTGAGTTATTGCAGTCACTTTTCAACTTAAACCCATCGAGAATATCTCTGTTGGCTATTTTGAAGTTACTATTTTGTTTTTCCTATGTCTGTTAGAAGTGTCAGTGCGAGTTAGCATTAAACAAAGCAACACAGTCATGAAAAATGGCCAAGTCAGAAAATCAAGAGGTTTCTTCTATTAGCGTATTTTAAGGGTGACTGCTAACATAACAAGCCTTTGTTACCACCAGACTTACTTATGTGAATTCATGGAGCAATAAACATAACAGAGTATGTACCACAAGACGTTTCTAAACGTGGCGATAGCATATCACTCTTTTTGTCCCCTGGGTGTTCAAGTGAAGGTGGGAAGCCTCTGGGACGAAGAGAAGGATAATTAGCAAGTTGGCCACAAAAGCAGGTCGCTGCGATTATGGCAGCAGGGTGTGAATACCGCAGAGAGACGAGAGATTCTGGGCCTTTGTTTACTCCCACTTAAACACGGTAATCTCCAATTCATTCAGCACAAACCTAAATCAGAGTGGCACACTGCTTTTGTGACAAACCTATGTTCACAACTATCAAAATGATATGTAAATATTACATTGAATTTGATTTGAAACAGACAAACAGACTTTTCTGTTTGCTGCTGCCTTAAATTGAACCAGATTCAAGGATATTAATCAATTTCCTGCATTTCACTACTGTATTTTATTTCTTACACTGCTTTTTAGTGTTTTAATGACCGTTTTTATTGTTTCAATGAATGTTCTTAATTGTTTTTAAATCTCCTTTTCTTTTGCCTTATGTTCTGATGCTTTTATGTGAAGCACTTTGAATTACCTTGTTGTTGAAATGTGCTATACAAATAAACTTGCCTTGAGCATGGAAATACATGAAAATTGTTCCGTCTCTCATCTGTGATAATGTTTGTGTTATTACTACGAACAATAACGCCTCCGATGTCCTAGCAAATGTGACCAACTTTTTGACCCAAATAAGGAGCTGCAGATCCCCTGCCTCTCAGTCACATGTGAGAATGAACAATGGTGTGAAATGACTGGCTTTACTTCCAGCACTAATATTTTCCTTCCAGGGTTATCTAGTTATCTGGGGGGGGGGGGGGGTGAAAAAGGTTTTAAAAATGTCAATTAAGTCAAATATATCTACATATTATTTGTTGATCACAAACAGATAATGAAGACAGTAATGCAAAATATAATAATAGTCAAACATTAACTAATAACAATTAAGTTATTCCACAACACTATTGAGACACACTGACTGGTGTGCTTTTGTCACAAACATATTTTGAGGATTCATTATTCTTTATGTGTGTCAACATTTGTACAAATTGATTTTCTCAGGTGAGATGCTGGGGAAGTTGTGAACGGGTCTTTTCAATTTCACAACTAAAAATAATAACTTTTATTACTATAAAAAACACAAGAACGTTTTTTTCTAACGATGTGAACAACCACCGTCCCAGAATCCAGGTGTAACCATGGCCCCTTCATCACAGCGAAGGGTTTGGGATTTTTTACCATGACCTAGTCATGTGAAACGCACCAGACCAGTGGCATTACGTAAGGGGGCTGGGGGGGTGGGCCGCCGTGAGGCAGAGCGAAGCCTTGTTTCTGAGCATTGGTCTAAAGGATTAGAGACTAATTTCCACGTGTCACACATGATAAGGAATGACTACAATCCTTACACCGTGCTAGATCAATTCACTCCCACAAGATATTGGGATTTTCAGGTCGCACTGACCGAATACCAGCATGACTTGTTCCACTGTGTCCAACAAGTTGTCCTTTTTCCCGTAAACACAGTAACCTGCGAGTCTGTTTTAGTGCTAAAAACCTGAACGGGAAAAGAATGCATATCTGAAAAGTACAAATCAGGTAAAGTAAAAGCCTGAACAACACAGGAAATAATCAGCTCTCCTAAGTAATCCGTTTGTGAGCTAAACCATGTGTGAACACAAAGGCTAGTTCAAGCCAGAGACAAGGATGAAAAAACAAAACCTTTTGTTTGGGCTACAAGAGGAAATGCCACCACACAAAAAATAAACAGTTAGGGATGAGCCATGTCTTTGAAATCAATGACATAATTAAAGGACAGTTTTTTTCATGTTTATGTCTAGTACAGTAAACACAACATGACTGGCTAAATCAGAATACTATATAAAACTAGCAGTAATTTAACCTTAAACTGTACCAAACTTCATTTAAAAAAAGTTGATATGAGACATAAAAACACCATATTCAAATTTGTAATTATTATATCATCAAAATATGAATTTTCTAATAGATGACTGTAATGTCAATTAATCCGTTCTTGTCGAGAGATATTCACAGGAAATGGAGGACCATGCAACGGCTTCAGGTCCACGTGAAGTGTCCTCTCCAAGTACACGTGCCAGTTATTTCATGACTGAAATAACTGAAGCCCCTGAATACTGCTCATTTTTCTGCAGAGATGTCCTCTCTACTGGCCTAAGGAAGGATGTGTATACATACCTTACAATGTCAAATCTTAGAACACTTATGTTTATCTAATAGCAAATGAATCTACTTACTTCAGAATGTGATATCATGGCTGTCATGTATCAGATATTAGATAAACTAATAATGTCCTGATGCCAACATTTGATGTCATCAACTTAGTTTTGCCTCATGTCAGTTCTGGTAAAAGCTTTTCCAGAGGGCTTTAGAGAGCTTCATCCAAGCACACACTGCCTCATCATCTCACCTTTATTCTACAACTCCTTTCAAAAACACAGCAGTGAGAATGAGTGGACACTGCATGGAAAGTAGATCCAATAGGTTTTCCTGTGATTTAAAGCCTACCTGTAACAGTGGGTGATGTAGGGTGATCTCCAGCTCTGCTAGCCTGTGGGCCGGGTCCTCACATTCCTCATGGATCTCCAGGTCTTCCCGGGGTACCGTGTCCCAGCGACCGCAGTTAGCCGCCAGCTGGTGCACCAGCTCATACTGGCCCGGCAGTGCCAAGCTGAGCCGTGTCTGTCTCCCATGGGTGAAACACAGCTTCCGCCTCTTGCAGACGCTGCCCTGGACTCCTTCACAAGCCTCTCCGGCCTCTGGGCCCAGTGGCAGCAACCTCTCCCCCAGGAGGCTGTTAAGCAGCCGATAGCGGGCGGCACAGTCCTGGCCTAGTACCAGGATGTACGGGGCAGCACCCACCGTGTTACGCAGGAACTCTTCCTCATGGCTGGGGAAAGAGATGCAGCTGAGCTGGCCTGAGGGAACAGACAGAACACAAAGAGGTATATGATGTTGGGAAGCGGAGCTTTTTAGGAACCTTTAGCAACCCTGTTGAGTGGGCTTTTTGTGGAGTTCTTGGACAACATTGTGCGCAGAGATTGGGTATTTAAGGACACACTAGCGGTTGCATCTGATCATTATTTCCCAGAATATACAGAAGATCCTTGTTCGATGTAAGAGATGTACTTTTTTGACAGTCTGATATTATTCCTTGGCCTATTATTTCCTGATCCAGCACTAAGATGTGGAGCACACACACAGAAGAACCAATTCAACTGTATTATTGATGGTTTCAGATATAGGCCTAATCCTCAGTGATGCAGAGTCACAGTCTAAAACAGTTATATAACAAAGAGAGGAGAGAGCAGCATTGGCCTACTTTATCTTCATACACAAGTGCATTTCTTTCTGACATACGGCTTTACTGTAACCGTTACTCTAATCTAGCATTACTGTACTGGTATCCACCCCTTGACCTAACATGACGCATTAAAGCCTATTGTTTCAGACAGACCGGCGCTGAGCATTTGACCGCATGACCCCGGCACAGTGGATAGACTAAACAGGCAGCCAATGCATAACCTCTATCAAAATATTAGATCAAGCATGTAATGCACAATTGAAAGATGAATCTAAAATAGCGGGTGAAGACGTGTTTGTGGCAGCACTATGGTTCTTTTTTTCCCTGTTGATTACAAATAATCTTTGGCTTAACATTGAGAATTTAACCATCTCTGTAAACAGCACACCGGCTCTGAAGAAAGCCACTCCTGCAGATGTGACATATTTCATACCTTCACTCCTGTGCAGTTAAACAATTTCCACGAGGATATAAGGAGTTGTGATAAACATTTTATAAAGCATATCAAACGGGGCGTGGGGGTACGATCAATTTAAATTTTTAAAACACACCTAACCAGTCACTAAAACACTCACACAATTAATGTAAAATAGAAGAATGTGTGTCTGATATTCCAGGCTCTCGGTGAGCTACAGAGTGTAGAAATCTCAGCATATTTGGTGCACTTAGTCTACTCATGCTTTTCAGAAGGGGGTTTAATCCCTTTAGTTTTCCCAAACCCTAATGACTGCATTTTTCCAGTTTATTTGCTGGTGGGGAAATATCTGGGCAACAGAAACGTCATGACTTTTCTTTTACTTATAGGATACAGATGAATAACATGGGATGCTTTAAAAATGGTTTAACACAGTGACATTTGGGTGCACCTCAGGGGATGTTGCTGCAGCATGTGTTCAAACCTACCTGCCTCAAAAGAAGCTGAATCCGAGCTCATGGTTGATGCACAAGCATTGCTGTAATTTTGCCTTATTTCCCGGAAGAACGCATTAGTTTCCTTTAAGTTCTTCTTCAGTTGTATGGTGTGTTTGTTGTAGCTGTTAAATATCCTCGTCAGTTCCCGAGCTAAAGGTGTCGTCTTCTGTTGTTGTACGTTTCCCTCCATGGTCAACAGTCTTCTCCTCTCCGTGGGTTACAAGGTTCAGTAGGTTCTTCAACGTTAAGCTGCTCAAATGTCAACAAGTCCTGTTACACACCTTTTTTTCCTTGCGTTCTAGCTAGTAGCCAAGTTAGTTCACCCATCTGCTAGGCTGTGTTAAATAATGAATTCACTTGTAGTCAGTGTTAACACACTGGTGTTGTGCTGGACAGACAACAGTCACTGTAGTGGCACGTGTCAGTGAATAAAGTCCAGACATTTGGCTTTTGTTGTTATGATGTTGAAGCTGACTTGAACTGCAAGCTAGCTTAATGTCGTGCAAGATAACTTTATGGTTGTAGTTGACTCGAAGGCAGATTTTAACGGTTAGCTAACAACGTAACCGCTACTTCGGCATATTTATTTTAAAGACCAACTGTTAGGCTGATTGCAGACTGTCTAAAAAACAAATAATAACAACACCACAATGATGTGATTCTGAATAATGTGCGTTTAACGACCTAGCTGTGGTCCAGATACCGTTAGCGCTGCTAGGCAGAAGGCATCTCCTGTCCGCCCTCTTGGCCTGGAGCAACAGACATAACGTTTAACTCCACGGAAATCCAGGGAACCGTTTCACAGCCATAGAGCTCCGTGTTTAAAGAGGGGGGGGGGGCAACTTTGACAGTTTCCACTGAAGGACAACTTGAGCGCGCGACAAAAACGTTGGTGTTTTCCTCGATGAGGTTCCGTGGGAGGAGATCTTCCTAAAGTGGCTCAGGCCCGGAGAAGCCAGCGGACATCTTCCACCCTGGAGAGCGACGGCGGCTCAACAACACGAACTTTCTCTCTCTTTTGATGATGATGAGGAAGACGAAGAGGAGGGTCAGTGGGGGTGCAGGGCGAGGTGTGTCCAGTCCGGGTCAACTCGCATAGCTGAGACCGAGCAATCAAATCACTGCAAAACAGAAAGTCGACACAACCAAAGTTTAGGGAGAGGAAAGGGCGGGGTTCGGGATGACGCACTGCAGTATGGGAAATGTAGGAATATTGGTCTTGGATCCTCAACAGCTGGCTACTGTCCAGTATGTTGTTGTTCTTCTTCTTCTTTTGCTTTTAATGGTGGTTAGCAAACAGCTTTCGGTTGCATTACCACCACCCACTAATCTGGAGTGTGGACTAAGAATACCCTCTCTAATACGACAACCAAACAAAACAAATTTAACTTAAATAAATAAAATAAAATAAATAGAATAAAAAAGATTTTTCCTCTAATTCTATTCATTAGTCCTGTTGACTCTAAATATTCCAGAAGAAGTTTTGAACAGTAGCAAAAGTACATATGGAGATATATAACGATACACTAATGTATAGAATGGTTCAAATAATGTCCTCTAGTGATAGAAAAAAGGGATATACAAAATAAAAAATATATAAAAATTGTGTAAGGCGGGTGGTCAATATGTAACGATATAGCCTAGTATATGAACATAATGAAGTGTGTACAGTAGAATGCTTATGTACAATGTAAAAGAGACAATATATACAGCTGACCATTGTCAGTGGTAAATAGTCTACAATCAGTTCGATAGATGACTGGGAGGTGAACATACAGCAGGCAATGAGTATGAACATCAAACTTTAACTTAGTATCTCATCATTTTGATTTAGAAAGTTAAAGAGGATCCCCACTGATTGTACACATAAAGACCAGTTTACTTGTCACAGAGAGAGTACCAGTCAGCCTGTGAATACAGTATAATATCAGTAATGGGCTTCCATCATCAATCTTAGGAGACAAAGAATACTAGTTTCATACTCTTGAATAAATAATTAGTTCCCTACGATGACTAATTTGTCAGCAGATTATTAATTCTAGTTGAGCTTGGATGGAAAAGGAACAAAAACACTTTATCTTTTTGGTTGTGTACATCATCAGCATGTAATTGTAATTTCTGTGGCTAACTTGGGTCATAAGATCATGTGCCCTGGGGGAAATCTAGAGCTTGTTTTCCCCCAGACTATAAAGTTTATTGTTAATCCACTTCACTTTCCCTTCACCAGTTTTTCTAAAAGTGCGGCCCGGGGACCCCCAGGACTCTGTGGCCTGATCTTATGTTAACATGATTCAAATGTATTGTGTTTCTGTTAATCACTATGAAACAGGTTTGAAGTATTTAGGTTGAAAAGTTTTAGAATACAAATAGTTCAAATGGCATCTAAAAGTAAAAATGGTGGTATGATTAAGCTCAATCAGTGGTATGATTAAGAGGGGGCCTTGGAAAATATTCTCCTCTTTAAGGAGTCCCTGGACCCAAAACGTTTGAGAACCTCTTCCCCCTAAACCACTCAGATCTCATACATATACTCATACACATTTCTGTACCTCTTGGTTATATATTAATAACATATTTCTGCACATATACCACCCTACTTGATAAACATTTGTTTAGAAAATTAAACTACTTAATTGCAAATATTGTAGAGACATTTGAGGAAACAAGATAACTATTTTGGGGCATAGGAGTCCACATGACTAATGAGCCCCCTCTACTGGCAGATCTACTTAATTACATAAACAACACCTTAAATGTGTGGTTTACTTTTTAATAGTCTTTGGTTTCATATTTTTCTCCTAGCTTAGGTGCTATTCTTTTCTAAATCGTATCCAAAATGAAGTGTGAATTTAAATTCAGCAGTCAATTGGCCCTAAGTATTACATATATACATATATTACATATATACAATATTCTCACTAATTTCACTGTTTGTGCACGCATTGTAACGGGTCAATATTGTACAAGCTTGTCAATTTAATATATAAACTTGTATTCTCTTTTTAGGTTTACTTTGTTGCATCTGCCTCTTGGGACTACAGCTGAAAAATAGCCTCTTGCTCTGGCTCATTTACAGCAATGCTTTTATTAATATTCACTGTCCCTTATCAAATAAACCATTGAAAATAAAAAATATTTAAAAAACATCTGCTCATCCTGTCCTAACCAAGGAACACTCACCGGCTGAACTAATATTACAGTCTATATAGGATATTAAATGCTGAACGTACTAGAATATCCTCATTAATAGAATGCAGTTTAAAGCTCCACACTGGCTGTTTCAGGATTTCTGCTGGCCCACATCTAGCTAGTGGTGACTGCATGCTGATCTCTAGTGGCCTACATCTGTAATGACACTAATACCACAACCTCTTGCTCTTTTCTAAAATGTATTTCTCTCAGTTCACTAGACTTCCTATTTAGGTCAAGTCGGACTAATGGTTGAGAACAAAAATACATATTCTAGCTCCATGAAGTCAGCTAGGATTTGAAATGCATTTTCTCTACAACCCGTAGGCCATACAATAATGTAAGCATTGTATTGTTACCGACGACAAACATGTGGATAATGCTCTGTTTGTTAACAGGGAGTTTGCCCTCTGTGTAACCTAAATTACAATTATATGATAGTTATATAATGTGAAGTATTTTCACACAATGACACCAATGATCTCTCTGAAGGACTGGGAGAGTCATTGCATGCAACTGTAGCTGTGTTATTCCAGTCCCTCTTAATCAGGTAAACTGTAGGTTAGGTTGGAAAAGGAAGCTCCAGCTCATTAATCAGTATTTTTTAAGTAGATAATTCAGGAAAAAGGCCCCAGAAATTCAATAAAGTGTGTCAAACGTTCAATTATCAATAAATGCATTCAAAATGATCAACAACTTGATATTATTGATCTCAGCAGTATAGTTCTCTTATTTGGTTTACTGATATTCTGTGTTATATTTAGTGGGGGATCTTTTACTTAGCCAAGTAAAAGTAGCAATATACTGCAATTTAAAAATACTCTGTTATAAGTAAAAGTCCTGCATTAACAATGTATCTTAAGTAGAAGTACCAAAGCAAAGCATGCAAAACTTAAAGTATAAAAGTTAAAGTACTCACAATGCAAATGAATTGTCCTAGAAAATGTTAAACTATTATATATGCCATTGTTAGCACCGATGCATTAATGTGCAAGTTTTACTATTTCATATAGGACTACTTTTGGGTAGTTTGATTTTATATGTATTTGTTTCTCTAAATGTATTGCATCATATTTTACAAGCTCATACGTTTTGTATGTAAAATTAACCTGTAAAGTAACTAGTAAAGCTGTCAAATGAATGTAGTGAAGTAAAAAGTAGTATTTCCCTCTGAATTGTACTGGAGTACAAGTACAAGTACCTCTAATCTCTAAATTCAGTGCATTGGTGTATGCTATTAAAAAAAAATTTAAAAAAATGCTCTTAGATGTTATGAGTGAAAGTGAATGGAAGTCACGGAAGTCATTCAGCAATTCCCCTTCTGTACCTGCAGTAAATCATAAGGCTACATATTGCAAGGCTGTATAAAATACATTTGCATCGCACTTTATTTTGTGGTGCGCTTGTTGTACATACCCGTGCACACCGATTGTGACAACAGTCACAAAACAAAAGCTGAGATCTGCATTATATGTTCTAACTTGGTTTACCAACTACTAAATACCACTAAACTTCTGTTACAAGTACTAGTCTACTATAGCTATCCGCCTTAAATCACTACTGCTGTTAATGTCGCAGTCTGCTGCTGCTGCTGCTATTACTGTCAATAACTCACCACTTTGAAGCACCATTGAACTAAAAATAGGGTTTAACTTGGAGATTAGATAACATGTAAATAAAAAAATTCTGCCCCTAACAAGAAAGTAACAACAAATTGACCTCAATCCATGCTCTTGCACTAACCGGCGCCGTCTGGTGTCTCAAATCAAACGCTCCTCCGTGTACCTGGAACGCCCCTCGACTATTTGACGTGTCCGGCTGCAGGCGGAGCTCGTGTCGCAGCACGCTGTGTACCTGCAGCTGGTAGGTCTCAGCGCTACAGATACACAGACACTCTTTAGCTTTCGGTCTGAAACATTTAGTTGTAGTAATCTGCTGCACAGCCGGAGTCAGCTCGTATTTACACTTGTATCTGAATTGTACCTGAGCACTTTTGGGAGCAACTTGCTCCAACAACAACAACAGAGCTCCGCGCGGAGGAATGCACTTTATCTGCGTGAGAAAATACGCCAAAAAGAAGAAGAAGACGACAACGTTTTATCAGGATGGAGAGCTTAAATGGTGCCCGTCTGTCGTCAAGCCGTTGGCCGTCTGTTGGGGCAGTTTCACCGGGTGAACATCCTCCTGTTGGGAGAGCTCCGTCCCAGGTGACCGTGAAGAGACAAGCCGTGAAGAGACACCACCACAAACACAACCTGAAGCACAGGTACGAGTTTCTGGAGACCCTCGGGAAAGGAACCTATGGCAAAGTGAAGAAGGCCAAGGAAAGATCCGGCCGACTGGTAAGGACCGATATTAACATTCTTTTATCACTTTTTATTTGTAATGCCTTCTTCGACGGTGTCCACATCTGTGTTGTCCTATCGGCCGCCTGTTGTGTAGCGATAGAGAGCTATTTTTAGAAGACTTGCTGTCTGCACACAGGTATGGGGTTTTTATTAGGGGGCCTCAAATGTGTCAATGTGAGGAATTGATGAGCCACTACTAAATTCTAAACTAATAAAATAGGTTGGTGTGTCAGTTGACAGACCAGCATACGTTAGACATCACTGTTTGTTTGGTTTAGGTTTCTCTTGTTTTTCTCTGTTTTCTGAACATTGCGTCCAGTCTGTGTATTTGGTAAAACAAAACAAAAAATCGCCGAATAAGCTGTTTTAATGTCTTGCATTTTATTCTCACCACCTTTCTCAGAACGTGTGTGTGTGTGTGTGTGTGTCACTGTGTTTGCTAACGGGGTTGGAAAGTACACAACTCCTCTGTGTAAACTAAATTAAAATGAAATATAACACTTATCTATTCATAAGTATTTACGCACCGTGGCACCAGTTACTTCGGTGGCCTCCCGTGTCTGTGGCAAACCTAATATCTTAACAAGTTATTTGTGGTGCATTAAAGTAGATCATTGGGCAACTAAATCGATACTTGTGTGAGCTCATCCTACAAAGACTGAAGCCTACATTGATTCCTCTATCTCTGTACACAAGACGTTTTACGCAGTCACCTCCTACTGGATTAAAAGGGAGTAAGCGGAGGTGTTTCTTCGGAAAGCCCGTGTGACTTCATCCCAGCAGGAAGTTTAAAACAGGAAAGTTAGGTACCTTTCTTTCTTTGGTAGAGAGAGGGAAACCGCAACGAGCCCTCGGGTTATTCCAGTTCCCTGTGACCTAAGGGAAAATGGGAGGTATCTAATCTAAACGCACTGGACAGAGATAACCCTTTTAAAAGGAGCACAGAGGTTATATTCTTGCACGTCCACAAATGGATGATGTGCCAGTTTATATGAATGATGGTAGACTAAACAGTAGAAGCATGTCAGGATAATGCAATATAATTTAACTACAGCCTATAAAATGGCCATAAAGTTGAATCAACAACTTTCTAAAGCAGTTTTAACAAAAACGAAACTCTGACATTCCTGAAGGTTAACTGCAGGGCTCCTGCATTAGACCGCACTCAGTTTACCAAGTGTTGCCTACTAAATGGCAACTGTGTATGTTTGTCTACATATTACAAACGGTGTTCTACACCTGATAATTAGCTTTCTACTAAATCTTTTTTTTTTTTTGTTTGTTTCCGTCACGTAATTTATTCAACATTTAATCAAGAAATTATAGGCCAGTTGTCAAAAACAAAAGGCACACCCAGAGTGTAACTGCGTTTTTATTGCAGGTGCAGGTAGATGCCTTCAGAAACGGTGACTCATCAAAAAACCAAAACACAGATACTTGGCCTAGAAGTGAACTCCCCTTTGTCAGCAGATCATGTTTATCGGAAATGCTCTTAGATGTTATGAGTGAAAGTGAATGGAAGTCACGGAATTTATTCAGGAATTCCCCTTCTGTACCTGCAGTAAACAGTAAAACAAGTCCAGCCTTGTTGTCCACCCCTCTCTGCCCTGACACCGTCTGACGCGACTCGCTGCTGCTACACTCAGCTTTTATAGGAGAAGAGTCTGCGTCTGAATGTCATCCCTGCAGGCATCTTCCTGGTCGTCATGCCTCAAACCCATGTTAACATCTCAAAATACTGATCAGCCCAAATGTCTGTTTTGAATTCAGTTCAGCTCAAACAGCAGTTGGCACACAATGGAAACAGGAGAAACATTCATGTGCTTTGTTTTGATCTACCTACCTGTTAGTATTGACGACACAATGGACAAAGAAGTTATTTGACACGGGGAGTGACCCAACACAAAGGATGGCTTCATCTTGCTTGCGTTGTGGCACTACAGCTGTTGCCATTATCTACATGCATATGTTTGATGACATAACCCATTAAGGAGGGTGCTTTCAGCACACACTGACTGTAGGGTAGACCTCACATTGACCTGGATGCTGTATCCACAACCAGCTATTCAGAAAGCCATTACTTTATTTATCTTAATTAACAAATCTTATATTCCATAACATATTCTTTTAAAAAAAAAAAAACAATTCAAAGCTGATAGATAATAAATTTACTATCACAAAGTCCTCTGAAGCGAGCTAGGAAATGTTTGGCACTTTTGCTTGAAAAAAAAGTCTTCAATGATTTATATTTAATAGTTGCCAATTAATTTTCTGTCAATCAATTGATTGTTCCAGCTCTAATGTCATGCTGTCCAATCAAAAGCAATCAACTATGTAAATATGAAGTCACTGTAGCATCAACCACTTGAACATAACTTTCATAAATAACAGCTTTGGAGGGGCAACAAAATATAAACGTAACTGCTAATCCTTTGTAAATGTACGTATTTAATATATAAGTACATAAGTGTGTTTGTATGTTTCAAAGCTAGCTAGTAGTTTTCATGCAGGTTAGAATGAAAATATCCAATTAGCTAACCTAACGTTATTCGGTCATTTAAGTTAACGTTATTGACGTTTAAGGTATATTGTGTTATTTTTGTGAAATGTAATGTGTCAAGTCGCATGTGTAGACACGTATTACTTCTTTTGCTTTTCTCTCCAAACGGCTCACATATAAGTCAGTTGGTTCAGGGAGCTATGCAACAGTAACACAGTGGAACTCTGTGTTAAATATCAAATATTTCAACCTCGGTGCCTATTGCGTGGAACAAACTGAGTAAAGAGGGGACACACACACACACACACACACCAACAGATCACCACACATGGGTGTGAACTCATGAGTGTGAGTTCAGCCCGTCTGACAGATATGCAAACAAACGCAGGAAGCCACAGTTTCCAGAATCAGGATAAGGGTTCTGTGTGGCGTGACCCAGAGGAGCCCCGAGGCCAGACACTGACTCATGACGGGAGACAGTTGTGTGTAGAAACTGATATGACGGGTCGCCGCTTTACTCACTTCCCCTGTGTCTGTAGCCTCGAGGGTCAGAAAGGAGAGGAAACAAGGACACCCCACCACCTAGTGCCCATCGGGGGGCCTCATCACACCCTTCAACTTGGGGTAGACGGATGACGCGCTCAGTGCACAGAGGAATCTCAGGCATCTGAGCTTCAACTAGACAAACGCAACATAAAGACGTACAGACTTGTCCAAAGCTTTTATGTGATAAGTCCCCAACAGATACTATTCACATTTAAATGTCCTTATTCCACAAGTCTCTCAGACAAACGGCAGCCAATAGATTTCTTTACAGCAGACGATACTTGACCCGGCGATGCCTCTGCCTTGTTAGAAACATGGCACAGTTTTCGCTTCGCTGCTCATTGTTACTCTCGCAAGAGGACGAGCTTCAGAGGGAAGGAAATACTTATTAACATTTTGTTCTTTTTTGTGCACTTATTCTGCTAAATAGACAGACATAATGTAGTTTATTTATTTACTGACTTCTATTCCAAAAGCAGTGCAGTTGCTGACCATTGTATAAATGTGTTCTTTGTCACTAAAGCGAGATTATGTGAGTCTTGACACACCCATTCTTCTTTCAAATGAAAAGTGAAAAAAATACACTGTTGCACATTTCAATACACTCCGTGGTTTCACTGCTGCAGCCTCACTTGGGTTTGTATGAAAGAGCTTATGGTGGATAATGGATATCGCTCTGTAACTGACATTACAGAGTCGGTTTACTGACTTCTAAAGACTCCTCTCAACTGGGTCTGTTGTTACACTGTGTTTCGATATTTACCATTTTCCTGCACTTGTCACTTAAGGCCACAGCAGCTGCTGTTCATCAAAAGTTACACCCTTGCTTTAAAGTAACTATTTGACTCTCCTAACAACTGTAAAGCTGTATTATTTTATTTATAAGCCCCTGGAAGTAATCTCACTTTTCTAAAAAATTATGCAAAATATGATATTTTTTTTTCTTTTATTTTTAGGTTGCCATAAAGTCGATCAGAAAGGATAAGATAAAGGATGAGCAGGACCTGGTTCATATTCGCAGAGAAATTGAGATCATGTCCTCACTCTGCCATCCGCACATCATCACCATATATGAAGGTACAGTATTCAAAATGATTGTGTTTGGGTTTAGTTACATCGCTCGCCGTTCAGAGCTGACTTCGTCTCCTACATGCAAAGTGAAACGTGATACCTGGAAAGAGACGACTCTCAATCGGTCTCTGTTTGGAGATTCAGAGTTTGGTCACGCAAGTCTTTTGTGCTGAAGAACGATGTCATGTTACATAAGCGCTGACGTCCGGTCATACCCCGAAAGAAAAATGTGCAGGGCTCTTGTGTCTTCCAGTGTTCCTCACGCCTGATGAGATGGTCATCGTTCAGTGTTTGTCCACCTCAGTGCATGTTTGCAATACGGTCATCATGGGGCCCCGTTTATCCTAATCAGAGTGGGACTAGGGGTCGCACAGGAAGATCTATGATGGGCTTTCAATGCAGAAACGTTCTTAATTCAAATGTGTTGGCGCTGCAGAGATGATCTCATTCAGTTCCATTTGGGTGATGAGTTGGATTTGAAACCTTTTCAATAAAAGTTGTGTTTTTTTTTTGATCTTGCAGTATTTGAGAACAAGGACAAAATTGTGATTGTGATGGAGTACGCCAGCCGAGGGGACCTGTACGACTACGTCTGTGACAAGGGGAACATCTCTGAACGGGAGGCCAGGCACTTCTTCAGACAAATCGTATCGGCTGTGCACTACTGCCATCAGGTGAGGCCGTCTGTCTCAATGCAACGCCTTCACACAGAACACGTAAAGTTGTTTATTGTAGCTGTGGTCGAGTATCTCAGCCCTCCTCACGCATGGCTGCTACGTCGAGGCTAATGACGCAGAGCTCCACTCGGACTAGCTGCTCCGCTCGTCATTGTTTTTTTTTTTTTTCCCCAGAGCGCTGGCACCCCAAAGTTACATAATGGGCATTATTCACTGTGAGCCTGCTGATCTGAACAGTGAGGCTGCGAGAACGATGCAGGGGGAAATGAACAGTTGGTCTGTGGAGAGCTAAAAGCCAGTCGTCCCTACAAACACACACTCTTAATGAGGGTGTGATGGAATAGAAGGGCTCTACACACACGAGCAGTTGTTGCTGTGTAATTACATTTACAGCACACTGTGTTTTAGTGTTGTTCAGCACTATGCAGAGCCTTTATACATGTTTGCTGGACTGTATGCACAGAGTGAATTGCCCTGCCATATTCTCTGTCAGCCATCTGTTTTATTGAGTGCTGATGTCTCGTTAAATATTTAATTTTCCACGTGGAAAGCAGTCAGGAAAAGGCCATCGAAACACTTTTTAAAAATTGGTTATGTATGTTGCAGCGATGAATTCTAAAGAAGTCCACGCAATAGTTTCTTCATGACTACATCGTAACAATAAATGAATCCGTTGCTACCAGTAGTGCCCATATACGTAATAGTTGACCTGCATGTTTGAAAGCAAAACGCATTCAAACTGTGCCTCAGTCAAAGGCATGCCCCCCTACAGAGTGGAGGACAATGAGGCATAGCTGACGTACTGGAAAAAAAAACTTCACTCGGAAAAGAATGTGTTCTGACCCAGTAAAGACTAATCCTTTTATATAATATAGAAAACTGATGTGTAATGGCCTGGGTGTAAGATGTTGTTATGCTTAATAACTTGTGTATATATATTTTTTCCCCTGTCAGAATGGAATAGTACACCGGGACCTGAAACTAGAAAATATTTTACTAGATGGCAAAGGCAATGTGAAGGTATGTTCCAAAAACACACACACACACAGCTCTGACTGTTGCTCAGCTTGACTTCCACTTCCTGTTCTTGCAGATCGCAGACTTCGGGCTGTCGAACCTCTTCCACGGTGATGAGTACCTCCAAACCTTTTGTGGAAGCCCTCTGTATGCTTCCCCAGAGATTGTCAATGGACGGCCATACCGCGGGCCAGAGGTGGACACTTGGTCTCTTGGTGTGCTGTTGTACACTATGGTTCATGGTACTATGCCATTTGACGGAAACAACCACAAGGCATTGGTCCAACAGATAAGCACCGGAAACTATCGTAAACCCACCAATCCCTCTGGTGAGTCTTTCAGCTCAACTATTCTGACACATTTATTTTGGTGTATATATATTTAGTTTCGTCAAAATGTAACTGTTTGTTTCTCTATTGCTCCCTCAGATGCATGTGGGCTTATCCGTTGGATGCTGATGGTAAATCCTGAGCGCAGAGCCACAATAGAGGAGATTGCAGGACACTGGTGGCTCAACTGGGGCTACCCGCAGCCATTACTGGCTGAGACAAAGAGCAGTCCAGTGGAGCAGACCACTTCCCCAGCCTCTCCATCGACATCACATCCTGCCGGGCTGGCCCTTGTTGGTAGTTGGCTGCGCCGTACGTCCAGGCCTTTACTGGAGAATGGCTCTAAGATGCGCTGCCTGCTGCGCTCACAGGGCGGTGGAGGGGATGTCGTCCGGCAGCGCTCCCTGCGAAGGTCGCAAAAGGAAAACAACGTCTCCCAGACCGTTCATGAAGTAAGCACTGACAGTCGCCCCTCCAAGGGGATTCTAAAGAGACGCAACAGTGTGAAACAGAAGGCAATGGATGAAGTCCCTGCTGCGGGTTCAGTGGAGCCACAGAACATTTTGGGTTTGTCTGCACCAGCTGATGCGCCTTCAGCTGATCCGCTGCCTCGCAAAGGAATCCTAAAGAAGCGAGCGGAGCAGGAGTCGGGCTACTACTCCTCCTCTCCCGAGAACAGCGACTCTGGCTGGGCTCCACAAGCTAAAGAGTGCCCTTCACCGCCAACTCACAGGAAAGGCATCTTGAAGCGCAATGGAAAGTTCTCCTCAGGTAGGCTGCAGGAGTTTGGCTCTCTGGACCAGCTGGCGGCTTCGTTACCCTGCGGAAGCGTCCGGTCGAGACCGAGCGGGGCCACCAGCGAGGACAGCATTCTGTCTTCCGAGTCCTTTGACCAGCTGGATCTGCCAGACTGCGTAGGACCTCCAGCACAACTGGATAAACCAGCCAAGTCCAGCATGAGAGGATGCGTGTCTGCTGACAACCTGCTGGACATCACAGAAGACGGGATCCTTGGGGACAGGTTGCCGAGGGCCTGGCACTGCTACAGGTCTGGAGTGGCTGACAGCGCCTTTTCGATCACAGACTGTGATAATGTAACAGAGGCTTACAAACAAGCCACGGTTACACGAGGCTCTGCAGCAAGCTGAAGGCCTGTTAACTAAAGACTGCTAAACTACTGAAGACATGTTCGCCAAAGTGCATTATGTGACCTCACCAGCACACTGTTGTGATAATCATTCTGGCAAACTTCAGGAAGTGCACAGTACCAAAAAGGCCGGAGGCTTCTTGTTAAATGTCGACGGCTGTATTTTAGATGGTGATAAGTGTCCTTATGAATATCTTGTAATTTTGAATGAGTAAAGCAGACTAAAAATAAGCAGACTGCACAAATATCATGCTGCAGTTTAAAATGTCCATTTCAAAGATCCTCAGCAGAGGAGAGCTGCTGCTGTTGGTCAACCAGGAGCTCTACATTTTCAACATAAGAGCTTATTATCAAGTGTAGTTAAAAAGTCACCCTGAAAACAAAAAACTGGTCTTCAATGTCAAAGTAAAGTTTGTTGAACACATTGCTCAGTGACAATAAACCAAGAAGCTGACATTCACAGTCACAATAGGACTGTTGTTTGAACAACGCTTCAGCCACAAAGTCGGTGTCTTTTACTGTCGACAGGACAGTTTGATAAAGAGTTTATGACTTAACAGCTCTTTAAGATTCTAGCAGTGCGAGAGCTGATCATCTGTCAACATATTTATCTAGAACAGCACTAACGCACAGGTTCAACGTTAGGAGGGGTATACTACAGCTTTTACTGTGCTTCAGGATGTGGGGAAATGACATTTCGTGGATACCAAAGAGTAAGTTTGCTACCGTCATTGGAGTTATTGTTTCGTTATTTAAAGCAACAGCAAAAAGTGCCAAGATGTTTGTTTGTGACAGGGATTTCAGCTCTGAAGAGCAATTTGTTTTTTTTTTTTGTTTTTTTTTTTTTTTTTAAATTCTTGTTTTTTTCCACTTGAAAGGACTCGTTCTAAGTTTGGATAATGACTTGAATAATAATCATAACATGTGACTCACATAGAGCGTAACCAGTAGAACCTGCTTTTGCTCCAGAGCCTGCACTAATACAATGGACAGGTGGCAGTTTCACAGGAAAGGTAGGGCTCATAAGGCTTTAAGGTCAAAACACTTTACTTTGTAAAACAGTGAGGTGTTTGAAAGCGAACAATGCGCCCCAGCTAACTACTGTATGTGTAACCCTTGTACCGAATTTTCAAGATCCGTCATGCAGCTCGTGTGAACTTTTAAATTTAAAATATCTCGACACCTAAGGTGATACAGTATTTCACAAAGCTAGATTACAAGTTCAGCCATTTAACTGTTTGTTTAAAAAAAAAAAAAAGAGAAGTACCACGGTTTAACCTGGTGACCTTGAATGGTAAAAAAAAAAGCTTAAATATCAGGTTTAGAAGTAGAATCATGCAGGCTAATGATGACATTACGTTTTACAAGATATCTGGTTTCTACTCCTGCTTTATTAAATACCTGCTGGTAATCAGAAATGTACATTAGTATGTTTTGTTTCTGTATGAAATGTCATGCTGCACACTGGAGCAACTTAATTGGATTGGCATGCTGGCATTAAAGTATAACATCAAAAATATTTTTTTCCAGGTATTTATGGCCACGCTGAGGCTTATCAGGAATGTAACACGCATACAAAAGTAAACTTTGAATTGGTTGATTCCAACTTAACATTCTTTTCATTCATTTGTAATCTGTCACAGACAACTGATTTATTATTGAAGTGTGACAGAGGAAGAGGGGTCTAAAATGGCATCTGTTTCATTTGTGTGTACAACATAAAGTGCATTTCATCACGGTTTCTCTTGTCCCAGAAGTTGCAGGTATGCACACTCTGATCATATATATTTTTTTCTTTAACAGCAACAAAAACCATGTTTGCCAAAGTTACTGGGCTTGTTATTTATATGACTGTGTGATCTGCCATGCTGTTATGACCGGGATGAGGAAATCAATAAAAACTACAGAGAACTCAAGTGCTGACTAATGTCATCAGTGACTTACATACAAATGCATAATGTCTTCTAACAGTACTGGTTCATAGCCACAAGGGAATTCATTAAAGTGCTGAGACTATGTAGAAACATCTGTTCAAACGTATCAGAACTGTCCAGATATAAAGCAGATATAACATTTTCAATGAATCTAGAGATGTATATATATCGATACATATGAATAGAATATAACATTTCAACTGTGCAAACATTGATATTAGGATTCAGTGCAATTCAATATCATAAAAGTTAATGTATTATATCTTTCAAAGCTGCCTAGCATAACACTTTAAAACAAGCAACAGGGTGGACATTTAAAACAAATCTTAAACTGTAATAGCTCTACATGTTGCAGAGGGATCTCCAAAAGAACTTGCCAAGAACAATAAGGATTAAGGAGTGATAGCATTGTTCTGGTTCATGGCTGTAAAGTTATAATTTAGCCATTGTCAGGGAGGAGTGGTTTTTGCTTGAATTCCTGGGGTGATGTCACTGGTGTGAATAAAACATCCTGAAAGTCAGCAGGGCTGTAGCTGATCTCTGAGCTGTGTGCTCCGGATCTGCAAACACTGGCCTGGAAACGAGGGCAGGCTGAGCTCCAACACACTCCCTAGCTGGTCATAGCAGAGGAGGACCGAGCTCTGTTCAGGGTCAGGTGAAGAGGAAGAACAACCATAAGTTCATCAGTGGGTCAGGAACAGACTCTGGCTCTTGACCCAACACTCCATGTGCATTGGTTGTTCTGCTAAAACACACATCTGACAGTCTGTTTAAACAGGGAGCTTTCTAACGCGATCACAAACATGACAGTCGATGTTGACAACAGGGCAAAGTCAAAGAGATATCATATGAAAACGTGAGTTAAACATTAACCTTACCAGATCAATGACCAATAGGTTGGCCAAAAACGTCATCACCGAATCAGAGGCGATGGCAGCGTCCACTAGCTTTAGCCTCTGCATGGCAAGGCTCACGCAGGCACATGCAATGGTGGAGGGCAAGAACACTGAAAACCTGTATTCTGACGATAAGAGACGAAGATCACTTCCTCTAGATAGTGAAAGAATCATATCTAGTACAATATTTCCTAATTAAGATGGCCACTTGCAGTTCACTTGAAGTATTTGTAGCCTACTGCAACGGTGAGAAAGTCAGTAAAGGCTAGACGTAGACAATGAAATGGATTCCACCATTGCAGACACACCCTGGTGGACTAAAGCTCGTGCTCAAAAGCAGACATTTCCCAAAACCTGATAAGCTTGCAGAATATCCTAGTTGCTTGAAGACAGGAGACACGCTGAGACAAAACATCAGACATTCAATCCATGCCGAGACACCTTTTTCAATGCATTACAATGGTGGAAGCCTCGGAATTGTCTCAACTTTATGGGCTGTAACGTCATAGTGTGTCTAAAACAGCACAAACTGACTGTCTCCCCGTGACCTGTTGCCTCGGGCAGCAGCACAGAGATTCGTGGGAAATCTGCCAGCTGAATGGTCGGACGAAGGTCTTTCACGGGAGACAATACAGGATTACACAAACTCAGCTCTCTGTCTCCGAAATGAACTGCTGACACATCGCAATCAAAGTTGTGGCCGCTTTGTGTTCATTGTTCACCGTGTGGAAAGTCATTTAACTTCACTGTCACGTTTAACGCTCACTAACAAGGCATGTAAAGTAGCTGCTTGTACTGCACTGGAGGAATAAAACAGCTTTACAATCGAGCACAGAAATCATTTAACACAAGGGGGGAAAAAAATGGTAAAATGTCTTTTTTCCATATTTGTATCCATTGCCACTGCGTATTGTCTTGTTCTTTATTTATTACGGTAACCCAGTTATGCAACTTACCAGTGGCTGCCAGAGCAATATAGGTGTGAACATGCCTGCGCATGTTAGGAAGGTGCTGGGGCCGGACCAAGGGGAGAGCGTGGAGCACCGGCTCCAGGAAGTCAGAGGGTACCACAGAGGCCAGACACCAGTCTAACCTGGAAACCACCGCCACCTCCCAGTGCTGCAACACACAGTCCTTTAACTCTACCATCAGAAGGCCCGTACATTAAAACGTTGAATTATAAACCATTAAAGCTATGGCTATCTGAGGGGAACAGTGAAATATAGGTATGATCCAATCATTGGTTCCCAAACACAATGTTTAGTTTATGTGAAAAATAAAAGTGGAGTTACCAGGATGTCTGAGATTGAAATGGAGTTGTCTGTGTAGATACAAAGCTTGCTGGCAGTCAGATGGACAGTCTCTCTCATCTTGGAGGCCAGGAACATACAAACGGACCCTAAAAGCTGCAGGTTGGACTTTTCAACTGCGAAGCTGCTCAGGTAACAGTCCAGGTAGTGCACCGCCAGCGGAAACACCTCCTCCTCACATTTCTGCTCCTCGCACACCTATAAAAACAGCCAGATGTTGTACTTTTAAGTCAGCAAAGATGACATGTACTTTTTGACTGATGTGCATACCTGAAACATCCACACTGCCAGTATCTTCCGCATGAAAGGCTCGATGTCTGTCTGGACTAGTTCAAGGTTTGGGGCCACCCGGCAGGTCTTCTCTAAGGCCGTGAGGTTGTGCAGAGTTCGGAGGTCACCGGTCACCGGTTGGTCGCCGCCCGCCCGGAGAACCACATCACGCTCCGTATCACCGGCATGTATGTCTCTGGATCCCCAAAGATCCATTCGACGAAGTTAAATACAGGAGCGTTCAACGAGGCGTCCGCTGCGTCTGATAACCGTTAGCTAGCTACCGTTAGCTAGCTATGCTAACCCTCATGGGACGTTCACTAAATGACACCTCGTTTAAAGTAGCAAACACAAACAGGCTCAACTGGGGTACCGGGTTTGTTTTGTTCAAACTAAATTTGATAAATTGAATCCAGGTCCATCATAAAACGATCAAAGCTGAACGTAACGAGGTCTAGCTCTGTGGCCTAACGTTAACTTAATGTCGGATCAGAGAAGACACGGTTAAAGGTGAACATTTATTTTAGGATATCCGACCTCAACTACATTTTAACAATGATGCTGAATTTGAATGCAACAGTAACTCATTGTCTTTAAGTACTTTTTAAAAAAAGGCCAATTTCACATTTACGATTATTCAGTCTTAAAAAGGACAGTTCACCCCAAAAATAAATTTACATATATCTAACTCTCACCAAAAACTTTGATAAAAAGCACTAGGAGGAAATATATGTATTTTTGATTTGGGTGAACTGTCACATTAAGACATTCCTTAAAATACTAACTTTTTTTTTCTTTTAGGTATTGACTTTTTGCTAATTATTTTGCCTTTGTTTAATATTATTATATTAGTTTTATTACTAATTTCCAATGTTGGCATATTCAATGAATGAGTCTATAGGTTTTCTGATACAATTTAAATTGACAGGTCAGAGATGACTAAATATGTTCCAGAAGAAATACCAACAGTATCCATTTTTATTTCCTATATGAAGATACCAGGTAGGTCATGTAAATGTTTTTTAAAACCAGGCTGCAAATAGAAAGTATTTCACCATCTATCTTGTGTATCACCCTAACAGTTAAGACAACATAAAATGGAAAGAAACACATTCTCCCTGACCAACTTTGAATGGACTCCGGTTGTTTTTAATCAAAACTGTTGCTTCTAAACAACAAAGTTGCTATAGTCAAACAAACACAAATACCAGTCTTTGTCTTCCCAACTGCAGGAAAAAAAACACTCAGACATTCCTAATGGGAAATTTCATCAACTACACCACAACTGATGTGCATTTTTAAATGTGCAAACTCATCCAAGCAGGGGACAGAATTACGGCTCCTGAGACACTGCCATCTTTGAAACTGTCCTTTCGAGGGTCAGGAAGAATAACAAAGTTAGATTTAACCCAGTTTTCATCATGCTGAAGAAAGTGTGAATCATTTGCATCAGAGGAGGAGGAAGCGCCAGACCAGAGGAAATCCTCATTCCATCTCAACAGTAACAGGGAGCCCAATTTCAAGATCCCTCGACCCTGAATTTTGCAATTCTCTGCGAATCTCTGCAGAGATCGGAGGGTGTGTTTGTATCTTGAGCAGCTCCAACAGTGCCGTCTTCTGCTCGGAAGCCAGGTCAGCCTTGTAGCGCTGAGCCATGGTGAGTAAACTCTGATGCCACAGCACAGGAAGCACACGTTTTTCACTGCGGAAGGACAGGAAGTGGGCCACCAAGGCATCTAGGACACGGAAAGGCAGGGCGTATTTCTTGTCAAGCAAGAGGCGCAGGAAAATGCTGTTGGCGCCATTGTACTCCATCTCTGCTAACTTAAGCATCGCAGCGCTGAAAGACAAGAACAATTTAGCATGTTATGCAACCTCCCATGTTATGCAATCTTAACCGTACTTATCTTGCCAAAAGGACACCTGGCTGAATCCTACATACAACGATGAGACGCTGACATCTGTGTGTGTGTGTGTGTGTGTGTCAGTGAAAGGAATCATTACCTGGAGTGGAGCACAGGGATGGAGCACTTTGTGAGTATGCTTCCGACGATGATGGCTTCCCTCAGAGTACATGTCCCAGACTCGCACAGAGGAATCAGTATACCTGTGTGACAGAAGAAGCAAAATACATCAAAAGGGTATTCCGGTACTTCCACAACTGCAGATGCAGCAGAGGCAGTGATAAACCTGGCTTTTACTCAGTTAAGATGGTTAAAGCTCCAAAAACACTGGCTCCAACCATTTCAATAATGCAAGAAAAGAAAAGCAGCTTAAGTTTTGCCTTCTTCACATCATATGGGAGGGATGGCAGAGATGGGAATGATTCCCATGTTTATGACTTGGGAGCATTAACGCCACCTGAGAACTCAGGATTGTTGTATGATTAACAACAGAATCAGCCATGTTAAAGTTAACTGTAGCCCTTAAATTTGGAATTAATTACCTTGACGACTGACTTTGACCGATGTAAAGCCATCCATGCTTGTTTTATTTTCAGGTATTTTCATACTTTGGCAGATGGCCCCTTTAAAATAAACCTTTACAGGTACTAAACCAACAGCTGTTCAGCTTACAATAAACTATTCTGATTCAAAAGCACACAGTCAAGATTGACACGTATGTGAACGCCTGTAGAATGTGTTTAACTGAAACAGACTAATACTGATAGAGCTGACAAAGATGAACAAAACAAAACAAAAAAGATGTTGGCAGTTTACTCGCCAGAGTGCAGTTTCACATCAGACACTATATTGCACACAGCACATTAAACTTAAGGTATGATCTGTGCTTTGGGTTTGCTTTCATGTTTGTTCACATGATAAATCATATTTAAAAATATATATATTTTTAAAAACAATTACTTCAGAGCCTCCGGGTGCAGTGATCACATGGAAAAACCTAAAATTAACTCCAGTAATCAGTTCCATTAATCACATTAAATGTATTCAGTAAACTAAATGAGCTCCAATAATAGAATAATTAATGGAAAAAAACAGTCACTTGTGGTCCGTTCTCTCACTCACTGTGTGACAAACAGTTCAGTGTATTTGTGAGCAACACTGCCACTTAGTGGAGTTGTCTCATACTGGTGTTTCTTTAAATATGGGTCATGGGACATTTGGGGGACAAAAGTCACATTAAACTTGGACAGTTTGTAAACAGTGAGTTCACAAAGGATTAAAGAAAAAACAATCATTGGCCAAACAAAGGATAATTTGAGTTTGTTAATGTCTGAGCTTCCAGAACCGATTGTGTTATTTACCCTGTGGACACGAATCTGAACTAATCCTCTGTGAGCGTCCTCTGAACACAAGTTCTAAATTTCGTGCTGAAATTAGAAGCGTGACACGTCCCAGAAAGCTTGTATTTCCTTCTTTGCAACAAGCTGTCAAATCCTCTCTTTACCACTTTTTATTTTCAAAGGGTCAGATGTGACTAGAGCTTAGCTCAGCATTCACTGGGGATTTGGTGAAACAATAACTAGTAATGCCGAACATGATGGCTACACTTTACAGGTCTGCAGGGCACATCAGTAACTATTTTACATCTACACCATTTGGATTTTACGCTCTGCCTGCACTTTGCTAAATAACAAATGTATTCACCATCCAAATTTAGAATTTTGATAACAGCTAGAAGAGTGCCGCTAATGAATTCAGTCCTTAACAAATTGTTAAAAACACTTTGCAGCTTTTAGGAACTTTCACTTTGCTTTTGATGAAGAATCAATCTGGACATAATCAGAATTCCATCCCACGACTGGGAGATGCTTAAAACAGGTTACATAAATAGAATCAGGGTCAAAGAAACACATTAAACAGCATAAAAACTAACCGGTGAACCTTATTGTGAACTAAGATAATATCTTAAAACCATGTCATCAAGCATTTTCTTTTATCCTTTCCAAAACCAAGACATCAAGTTTATTGTCATGTCGGACAAGTAACAAATTCTCATATTTAAGAAGCTGGTGCCAAAAAAGTGATGGCATTTTTGCTAGACAAATAGAAATAGTTGAAAAATAGTTTAAATTTTCAGTTCCACAATCCACGATTGTTGCAGCTCTAATGTAAATATCTTCTCACTCTAAAAAAGAGAAAATGAAAACCATCCATTTAAAATGGTCTCACCTTTGAACCATGCTCCTGGTTTGAACAAGGCCTTCTTCAGAGCACTGTAGAGATGGAAGTTGAGTTTCTTGTACTCTGCGATATCGTCCCGTACTCGGGGCAGCAGCACCAAGTTGTAAAACCTCTGAGCCATTCGCTCTTTCAGATTGGACGAGAAGATCCTATAAGAAAGGCATGGAGAAAAACACTTCATTGTACCGTGTTGAAATATCTGGTAGTAAATGAGATAACCTGCTCAGTGTACAGCCAAAGACAAACCACCTGGGGGACTCACCTTGTTGCTTGGTACATGGCAGCTGCTGTCCAGGTCTCGGGCTCGGTCAAATAAAGAATCTGCTCCCAGTTTGAAAGTGCTGGGACTATTTTAAAAGCCTTTGGCAATTTACCGCTGCGATATCGAGACAGAACCTGAAGCAAAAGAACAGAAATGTAAACTATCATTTAACTGCTCACTAGGAGGTCTTTACACTTACAGTCAGGCACTAAAAACACTTTCTTCCCTTTAAGTCGACGGATATAACTCACCTTATTGACACCTTTGTACACTTCTATTACCCTCGGGTCAAGTTGGGGCATTGGACGCCCCGACGCCTCCGACATCACTGTCCCTACCTCAGTCTGCTTCTCTGTAATCTTCTCCATGATGATATCAGCTAAGGTCCGTCTACGAAGAACACAAAGAGAAAACACAGCGAAGCTTTAAAAGCAAGAACTGAGCTCATTTTGTGCTTCATTACAATTCAAACTCAAACAGGTAAGTTTCAAAATGAAGCCAGGATTATGCTGCATCTTGCCTCAATGGAGGGTTTTTATTCATGAACATCTCCATGGCCTTCTCGTCGTCGGGGTCAACGACGATATCGGTGTCACACACCACATCGCCGTCGTCAGCACCCGCCGTTCCCAGTGCGGGCCACTCCTCATCGGAGTCTGCATCCTGAGTGTCAGGCCCTAAGATGTTATGACAAGACAAAGATGGTCAATAAGATTACACGGTACTGTTTAAGATACACACTCCATAGTGAAGTGAAGTCGATCATCTGAAGGAGCGTTACACTATCAAACATGTTCAACATGTTCACTATACTTGTATCAAAGTTCTTCCTTTGATCAAATATTCCTGATTTAGTTATGTTTCCTTATGTTAGTATATATTTTTACTTCTGTATAATTAATGTTGAACATGTAAAACTACAAATTACTCACAAACGTGTGAACTTTCACATGAACTTAAATTGTGCTTAAATGTAGACATTATAGAGTAGATAAGTCCCGACACAGAAGACATCCAAATATCCCTTAATCTAATGCATTTCATGCAAATCACAACTTCATAGACTTTCAATAACATGGCTGCAGTTCATATTGAGGAGGACAGACACCTCCCCGACATTACCGAGAACAGTGACCGGCGTCTTCTTCTTCTCTGGTGCCGGGCCATATTCGCTCTGAAGCTCATCTTGCTGAATTCGTGCCTGCTGTAAGATCTTCCGAGACAGACGCTCGTCTACGTAGTTGTCCTCGTTTTCCGCCCGGCTATCCCTGCTCTTCACCCGGCCTCGGGCTCGCATCGTGTCCGCCTGCAGGATCTGGTCAGCCAGCGCCATCGCCGTCGCTCCTCCGCTCGTCTCTCCTCTTCCTCCTCCGCCTTTGGATTTTTTCACTTTGGGCATCGCTGTGGTTTGATAGAAGATGTAGCGATACTATCAGTGTGTTTGGTTGGCATGTGCTATGGAGCTACCCGAGGTCTAGAATTAATAAGTACTGTAAACAGTCGCTTTATCAACACGTGCGGATGTCCATTGCAGAGGGGAAGTGACGTAGTTCGCGTCACGTAACGTCGAAACCGAGCAGGATTTTGTAGTCTGTTTGCTGTTTGGGTTGGCGTTAAACTCTTTTGTTGTCCACGATTTGTAAATATCCAGCTTCACAAATTGTCATGGATGTTTCGTGTCTGTTTAAAATTTTAAATACTCCGATTTAACTAGCGGAAGACTCATGTTTCACCCGGAAGTACTCAACCGACAACCAAGAATACAATTTGAGGCAAAACATCAATGGGGGTCACTTGGTGAGACGATTGCTTCATGTTTTTAGCTACATTTAAAATGTTAATGTTTGGAAAACGATGTAATTATTGTACATACCGTATATTCACTATCTTGCCTCAACCATCGCACATGTTTTGTGTTACTTTGGCAGCGCTTCATCGCTCACTTTCATTCACACGATGCTCTGCTCATCTTTCTCACATCTCAATCGTACTTGGCTTCTCAGTCCTTCCTTACAGATCCTGACTTGACGTGGTGCTTTTGTTGGTTCTGCAGTGTGTGTCAGGTGCCTGTGTCGGAGGGGAAGAGCGTGCAGCAGACAGTGGACGTCCTGCACAAGAAACTGGAGCAGCTGGGTGCTGTGAAGCAGGGCACCTTCTGGGTAGACTGTGAGACATACCATGCAACAGGAAACGTCAGCGGTAATATTTAATTCTGTACTTTTTCTAATCGTTCTGATAGATAGATTTGAACATTAGCAGGCAGTAAATCCAGATTTTTAGTCCATGATATTGCTCCCAAAATCCTACATTTCCCACATTGCCACTCAATAGTGGCATTCTTTAGACCTTCAATCATCAACTTGTTACTCACCGCTTTCCGTTATGAAAAAAGTAAAATTGCATTAAAAAAGTTAATTAAAAGTATCTCACAAAGTGAACACATTTAGTTATCAATACTTCAAAACAATAGAGTACTTGAGTGAATCAAGTTCTTTACTTGTCACCTCTGACAGTCAGTCTTGCCCGTCTGTTACAGGTCAGCCCACCAAGCTCTTATACATGATGCACAACTCTGAAACTCCGCTGAGCTGCATGGGTCTGTTTGAAGGCGGGCCCTGCCTGATAGCCGACGCAAACTTTGACGTTCTCATGGTGAAGCTAAAAAGTCACTTTCAAAATGCCAAGGGGCACAAGGTGGAGTGTCGTGGTTCTAGATACCGTTACTGTGACTTCTTGATAAAAGTTGGTACTGTGACAATGAGCTCCAGTGCCAGAGGGATATCAGTAGAGGTATGTGGTTAAATGAATATAAGTGAGAGTGGAAACATGATTATTTATTTTTTCACTGTGGCTGCATTAACGCTTTGAGTGTTTCTCCAGGTGGAGTACTGTCCTTGCGTAGTTCCAGGGGACTGCTGGAACCTCACGAAGGAGTTCATGCAATCCTTTCTTGGCCCCAGCGTCCCCGAACTGCCTTCTGTGTTTGCTGCCAAGCCTGAAGGACTCTTCGCACCATCAGACTGCGTGGACACCATGACTCAGTACCTGGAGTTGTTCAACAAACTTCGTAAAATGCAAATGCCAGGAAGCAACGTGCGTTGAGTCATCAGTGGCATCGGAGAAAACCTTTTTTATGTTTGTATTAATGTTGCTTTAAATCTGGTCCTGTGGATCAGCATGTTATCCAGGCATTTTTCAAAGTCTGCTTTTTAAACTTCCATTTCTGGAGCCTCAACATTGTAATAAACCTTCCTATTTGATAAAAACATCTTGCATGAAAGAGACTTAATGGAGAACAGAAGCTAGAATATGTGTCTCTGACCAATTCTATTGTGATGATCATTGTATAATCATACACACACATTTCAAATGTCCTCTTGGTGGGGTTGTAACCTTCTCTAGAGAGACAATTTTAGCTGGAAGTAATAAAACAGATAATTGTGAGTTTTTCTTAGTAGATTTCCTGTAGTGGGTGTTGGCTAAAGGCTTATGTTTGATTAGTTAATAAGGCTTTGGACAGAAAAAACCCTAATTGACGTATGCACAAGGATGTCTGTTCATCTGTGCAGAGCCCTGCGGATTTCAGTTAAATTGTGTTTATTCAATAGACCTTTTAATTATAGAGATTTTGACTTGTTTAAATAAAATACAGGAAACACGAGTGAGGTCTCTGTTCAGTTTTAATTTCCTATTAGGCCATACTAGTGATCAGTATGCACAATACAGAGGTGTTACTAATAATGTTAACATTGGAAGATTTGCAGAGAAGAAGGTATAAATAGATGAATGAAAAGCAGGAGGACTTCCATGGTGCTTCTACAAAGTACGGTATAATGTGCGTAAAAGTTTATACAATGTTTAAAAATGATTTCCATTTTCTAATAGAATGGGGGTAGTAAAATGAGTCAGTAAAAAAAACTACAATACATTGTGGGAAAGATAACTTTCTACCCAGTGCATTATTTATTTATTTTTTTGCAGTATTTTTGCAAAGTCTTGTGCTGGATTAGTATTTAGCACCATGCCGTTTCATCCAGTGTTAACTTAAATCACAATAAATGAAAGAGGCCCTAAATCTAGATTTGGTCCCTTCCACGTGACGACTACAACACCACATTCGGCTAATACTGTGCTTAAAAGTTACACATCCTATGATGCATTTGATCAGATTAGCACAAACCAGATGACACATGGCGGACAAGGGGCTTTCGAGGACATCGAGGTCAGAGGCTCAGTGGTCTTCGGTGTGCCCGACGTGCGGTCTGGCCTCCGTTATTGTTCCATGTGGCACCGGTGGGTGGACGGACGGTCCATTCTGCTGCCTGTTGTTCAGCCTTTCCGCCAATGAGAGCCCGGTTGCCGCTCAGTCCCAGTCCAATGAGAGCGGCGGGGTCTGGGCTCGGATCGAGAGTTGGGTTGTTCAATCTGCGAGGAGGACAACAACCAGCTCCGAGTGTACCGGTGGATGGATGTTGGCGATGGTAACGTTACCCCAGCTTTTCCGTTAATCAGATGTTGCAAAATGTAGTAACGAACACAGACGGGGCCCGGTGGTAATGTACACCCCATTAACCGGCTTTCTGTGGTGAAAGTCACCGGGGAGTTTTTTAAAACGGTTAACGGCGCAGTTCGCTAGCGAGCTAAGCCGTGCCGTGTTAACACTTAGTTACCGTTAGTGAACGTTCGCGACCAACAACAACCGTTAGGTTAACTTCGATTGTCCTCCGCAAAACGCGTTAGCCGCGTAGCTAACGGTAGCTACTATGGCAAGCTAAGAACATACATGTTAGCTACTTGGTACGAAGCGAATCATGTGTGTTTTAACAAAGTACATAATTAGAATAGACAGCAGAAAGAGTAGGCGACGCTACGCTTCTGCAGGAGCTGCCGTGGCTAGCGGTTAGCGGCGTAAGCTAACTTATGGCTGGCTGAGCTGCCTCAGACCAACAAAGTTATTGGATGTTCCTGGAGAGTGGCTCTCCTGACTGCTCTTTGTTCTGGCTCAACATGGTGATGGTGGGATAGCTTAGCATGGCGATAAGAGCCAACCGCACTGATCCTGGCGACAGGCTTTAAAAACACGGGACGGATGCATTTGGGATATTGTAACATTTGGTGAATATCGGCGTCACATTAATGGACACTTCCAAATAAGCACAACACACAACATAGCACGATGTAGGTGTATGCAGCCAATTGGAAACCAGTTGCACCAAGTTAACGGTGTATTTTCAATAAAAATAGTAGTTTTAAAGTGTTGGATGGTTTCCACAAAAGCAAGAAGAATGGTGTCGTACAGCGCCGATACCGACGAGGTAGATAATTACATGGATTCACCACATAACTGGAATGGACAGACAGACATCCTCCTTTATGTCAACATTTCTGCCTCAAAGTTTGGCCGTGTAGGATCTTTAAATATTGTCTCCATGAAAAAGCACAATCATTTGTGTATTTATTATAACAAATAACAGTACAAATATACATACACCATATCAACCATACTGTTTTCATTCCAAAGGTTCTCAGTGATCTGTACTAATAATCATAGGGAATGTGAGGTTAAGTTTATTCTTATAGCCCAATATTACTTACAATGTCTCAATGGGCGTTACAGCCCCTCATATGGAGCCCAAGCTCTCTGTGAAGTCAAGAAATAAAACCCGTGAGCGCATAAGAGAAGAAAGGCCTTGTATGAAACCATCTCTTCCAAGCCCCTCATTCACTTCAGTGGTTTTTACGCATTGTGTTAATCTTGTTTAGCATAGCACCACAACACCCGTCAAACGGTGACACCCCATTTTGTGAAGCAGTTTTGCAGTCACGGTCATTTCTCAGGATCTGATATTGTTTTTTTAATAAGTTGTAAACAGGTGTTGTAAACATAAACCATTTGATATGTTCAAGATTGCAAATCATCTATAATTATTGTTTTTGAATACTCTTACATGCTGGGTGTCCTTGAAGTGGAAAGATAGTTAGTTGTTTGGTGACCTGTCTTCTCAGGAAATGGCTTTTTTGTTGTTTGTAAATTTGATATTTTATTAATGTTCCTACTTTTGGTGCATCGTCTCATTATTTCTCATGCAACTGTACACTATTAACTTAATTTCATCCCCGTTTCTCAGAATGTTCTTGTTGATGACGGTGGACATGGGTGATCAATCCGATCATTGCCGTTGAGTTCTCTGCAGATGTTGTGATGTATTGTCCCAAACCCGATCAAGCAAACTACTTTTACAGTAAGTAACTTTATGTACAGTACAATGCGCGTATGCTTATTCAATGAATGATTGACGATTTTTTCCCTGTAAATCTCACCTCAGAATGAGGTGCTGCTTGGTTCCAGGACGTGTGTCCTATCACTGAGGCCACATGTGTATCGGGAGAGATGGATCGTTGTAAGCACGTGGGACGCCTTCGTCTGGGCCAAGACCATTCAATCCTCAACCCGCAAAAATGGCACTGTGTGGACTGCAGCACCACCGATTCAGTGTGGGCCTGCCTCAAGTGCTCCCACGTGGCCTGCGGACGCTTCATGGAGGAGCACTCGCTCAAACACTTTCAGGAGTCACAGCACCCACTGGCTATGGAGGTGCGTGAGCTGGATGTGTTCTGTTTTGCCTGTGGAGACTATGTACTCAATGATAATGCAGAGGGAGACCTCAAACTCCTCAGAGGGGCCCTCTCCACAGTTCGCAGCCCAGGTAGACGCTCTCTGCGCTCCTCATCTGGGGGAGAGTGCTCCTCCTGGGTCGGGGAAGGAGGGCCACAGCCCGCCATGCAGCTGGCCTCGCGTCACAGGAGGAAAGCACTCCTAGGGAAGATGCTTCAGATGTGGATCGGTAAACATCAAGTGCTGCAGAATCAGCGTGAAGAGAAACTCGAGGAAGCTAGAAGACAAAAAAAAGAGGTGAAAAGGAGACTCATGGAAGAGCTCGTCAATGTCCCTCCCAGAAAGAGTGCGAGGCTTCTTACTCAGGCGCCACGTTCGATGATCACACTCATTCCTCGCAAATTCCGCGACCCTCCGGAACGCCTACCTCCTCCTCCCAAGAAGCCCTCCCTTCTCACCCTGTCCCGTAAGGCTCCTCAGAACGGCAGAGCTGCTAAACTGAGGCGGTACTACTCCACACACGCGGTAACCCGCCGGAGACTCGCTCCAGGTGTCACTGGTCTGCGCAATTTGGGGAACACATGTTACATGAACTCAATATTGCAAGTGCTGAGCCACCTGCAGAAATTCAGGGAGTGTTTTCTCACTTTGGACCTGTGTGAGACCGAGGAGCTGCTGGCCAAGACCAATAACTCCCAGGAGATGAAGGGTGTGACGGGAGGTGTAGTCGGCAGTGGTAACGCCTCACTGTCAGGGTGCCCTCTTGGACGCATGGGGAAACCAGGCAGTTGGAATTTGGCCCCGGGCAAAAAGGAAAGCGCCCCGCCTTCCCCACAGGCTTCGGAGTTGGTCCAGCCCAAGGAGCCTCGCTGCTCCACCCGCCAGCAAATGTCTCTGTGCCATGAGTTACATACACTTTTCAGGGTCATGTGGTCAGGCCGGTGGTCTTTAGTGTCTCCATTCGCCATGCTGCACTCTGTGTGGAACCTCATCCCGGCCTTCCGTGGGTACGACCAGCAGGACGCCCAGGAGTTCTTGTGCGAGCTGCTGGACAAGGTGCAGCAGGAGCTGGACACGGAGGGGTCCAAACGCAGGATAGTTATCCCCATCACAAAGAGGAAACTATCCAAGCAAGTGCTAAAGGTTCTCAACACCATCTTTCATGGGCAGCTCCTCAGCCAGGTGAGACATGAGATATGTGCCCCTATAAACACTCTATAGTACGACTACCACGTCCCAAAGCTTTGAACTCGCACAGTTAAGGTCATTTTAAAAGAATAAACAACAACTTATGATAGTGTGATCACCAAATAATGTGTTCCACAGTGATGTATTGCCTGATGATATTCTTTAATTTTCTGTCCAATAATAATAATCAACTGCAAGACATTCCATTACTCAGACATTTTGTGATGTTTTATTTTCATCTCATGGTATTGTCTTCAGAGATGCAATTCATTTTAGAATTAAGACTGTGTGTCATCAACTAACATCCCGACTTACCTGTTTCTCTTCCCGCTGTGTGCGTGTGTGTGCGTGTGTGTGTGTGTGTGTGTGTGTGTGTTTTAGGTGACGTGTCTGTCCTGTAAGCACAAGTCTAACACAGTTGAGCCATTCTGGGATTTGTCTTTGGAGTTTCCAGAGCGATACCACAGCATAGACAAAGGCTCAGGCGCTACAGCGTACCAGCGCAGCTGCACCCTCACCGAGATGCTGTCCAAGTTTACGGAAATGGAGGCTCTCGAAGGCAGCATCTATGCCTGCAACCACTGCAACAGTTAGTACAACGTTTAATACAATGCAAAGCAAAGGTGGCGGGTTTTAAAAACATCTTCAAAACAACATTTTTTTATTTCTTATCTGTTAAGATTTGCCTTCTACAGCTGGAGTTTGATAATTATGAATTAATTCAGGATGCCTGCCCACAATTTAAATTAAAAAATACATGTCTAACAAACGGCTTTGTTAATAGTGATGTGTGCCACAAACTTGTGCAAACAAAGTTCCATCACAAAAGAATATTTGGCTTTGAGGAATTAGTGCCCAGAGACATTTAATTTGAATGATGTGAATTTAAATTAGAATAACTACATGTACAAAATGGTTTTATAAAAATGAATTCAGTTCAGCTCCTCCAGCAGCGGACAATGACTCATAGGATGAGTGAGGAGTGTTGACTGCTGACAGCCGTGGAGAAGGCAGTGACTTGAAAACTACACAAAATATATATTTAGTTTGCTGTCAAAGTCTAATATGTTGTAAGAAAGCATGTGAACTCTGCACTAAAACAAAGCCTCATATCAGTGCTGGCCATTTGAATTGATTGTGGATTAATTTACCAGTTCATTGTGTCATGGTTTGTTTAGAAAGAAGACGGAAATCATCCCACAAACCCTTAGTTCTGTCAGAGGCTCGAAAGCAGCTTCTGATCTACCGTTTACCTCAGGTTCTACGGCTGCACCTCAAACGCTTCAGGTAAGCTTCTCTACCGGCTGCTTATTCTAATGTTTACTGTTAAATATCTTAAAAACACTTTGAGAAACCAAGGCGGGTTCATTGCTGGGTGTTTTTGCCGCTGAAATCCGAGCGCTTCAGTACATTTGTGTTCATCGTGGTGCCCGTGAGGCTGACTCATCCCTGTTGTATGGCAGATGGTCTGGGCGGAACCATAGGGAGAAAATCGGCGTCCACGTGGCCTTCGACCAGGTTCTGAACATCAAACCATACTGCTGCACAGGCTCAGGTCACTCTGTCCACAGAGGAGGCTACACCTACGATCTGTCTGCTGTTGTTATGCATCACGGGAAAGGCTTTGGCTCAGGGCACTACACCGCATACTGCTACAATACAGAAGGAGGTGAGGAAGAGACCGGACTCGATTCAGATCAAGCTATCACGTCCTGTGGTTCTGTCTGTAACCTCTTTTTCTCTTTGTATCTCCAGGTTTCTGGGTCCATTGTAATGACTCTGAGATGAAGGTCTGCAGTGTGGAGGAAGTGTGCAACACTCAGGCCTATATCCTCTTCTATACCCAGAGGTCTGCCTAGGTACCTCTCGCTGTGATGTCGACCTGTTTTTGGGCAACTTAAGGCTGCATTTATGAAAACGTTTTCCCGGATGTCATTAAGCAATCACTTTTACTAGATTTACTAAAAAAAGATGGCAACGGGGCCAGTAGGACAGCCACAATCATGAGTCACGGTGAACATTTTAGCAGCATAATCCAGAAGAAAATGATAATTCAATTTAAATGTTCTAATGGGTGGCTTTGGATTTTGTTTGTAGAAATCAAAAAACCTTTTCATAAATGAGGCCACGGCTTCCTTTGGCCTGTGGGACCAGCATATCGGTTAATGGCCCGACGGCTGTGGGAGCAGGTCCGACTCTGTCCTGCTGAACACCACCTTGTGTGTCCGTGTTTCTCAATGCGATCGGGCTCATGTCTGTTGAGTCTGGATCCAATCAGGCGCTCTCCTCCTGAAACAGCATTTCACATTTGAAGGTCACATGGATTCTGGATTTTAGAGCATTTCTATCACAATCATGTTGTTTATGTGCTTTTTAAATAACCGTACATTTGATAGCCAATGCACTAAATATTATAAGAGGTACTTCCTTCAACATCATTGTGTAGTTCCACTGGAATTAAATGAATCTAGCGACTAAAGTCCAGACTCCGTGTCGCCTCCTGTTCAGCTTTTTTTTAATTATGGTGAAATGTCAGCCATGGAAACTTTTACTGCTCATCCCTGTGTCGTTCGTACTTCATCATGTCCTCTCCTCAATTGTACTGCTGTGACTGGATACTGTGTCTGAGGATCAAGGCCTTTCGCCTGCGCTCCCAAGTGAACAGGAATAGTTTTAGTTTATTTTGTAGTCATTCTGTGTTTCACCTTCACTTGATGAGTGATGGAAAGCTGCACTTTTGGGGAGGGGCTACTAATGTTGGTCCTATCTTTGTGATTGTTCATCCTTATGCTCCTGTATCTTGTTTAAATGGCAGCTCCCCCTGTGGTGTAACGGTTAGGTAGTCTGAGGCCGCGTCGGAGACACCGCTCCTCTGTTTTAACTGCAGGAGAAATGAGTGAACGGCCAGACTGCGATACAGAAGAATGTGTTGGGGCACCCAGTTTGAGTTGAGCACCTGAAAGCAATATATTGTACATCTTGCATCTTGACAGGAAATTAAGATAAAATCAGGAATTCTTCTGCTTCTTGTTATACAATGTTTTTTTCTACTCTGCTGTTTCTATGAAGGTCTTTAGAATTTGCTAGGTAATCAAGAAAGAACTGTTGTGTTTGATAGGAGTCAAACGCAAAATACATTTGTGAACTCTATGTAAAAGTTGGAACAATCTAATGACGATGAATGTCTTACTTTTCAGTGGTCAGGTGTGGCCATGCCACCGGCTCTGATCCCTTTGAGTTCTGTCTTGTACTGTAAGAATACCTGTCATAAATGTAATGGTCATATGGGTTTTGCCAGACGGTGATTATTAAAAAGACAAAACAAATCTGAAACGATCCTTGGGTTGTATTCATTTTTAGAGCGAATGGTGTCTTCAGCGCGACCATTTGTCTGAATTAAAAGATGGAGGGTTCATTCGGGTCATGAGCATGTTTTATGTCTCTTCACTAGCTTAGCCATCATAATGTCTGCAACATCTTGACGGCATTAAAGGAGGATGCATACATGTTCAGTGAACATTAATAAATGTCACACATTTAGCATCATAACGGATGCAGTGAAGTGGAACTGAAATGAATCACAGGATTAACGGATGATCTGAAATCTATTAACTCTGCTTCTCTAATGCTTCCTTAAAGATGTGAAACCTAGAATAACTGTAATCTGGTTCAGAAATATGATGGGAGGTCATTCAATGTAAATATTCTCTGAAGATTATCCTGAAATCATATAAATCAAACATCTGGAATGTGTAACATAAACCACAATGTTTTGTTTGTACGATTTTATTCATAACTTCTGTTGGTGAACGATGAGACTGCGATTGTCTTTAAAGCCAGACTGTAACTTTGAAGAGAAGAAATATCACTTTCTTCCTCTTACAATTGAAAAGTCTTCTTTAGATTATAATGCGCTGTTGTTCATTTGAATACACAGCTGCGGCCTCACTTGGTCTGGTATGACCAGCAGCTTAAGTAAGCTAATGTTCGCTGATGTTTTCAAACTTAAGGTACATTTTGCATCAATTCACTGACTGCTGGTCTCTGCTATTGTTCTAACAGTTTAGCATTTTAGCTGAATGCTAATTTAACTGTAATGCTGTATCAGTTAAAGCGACACTTGTTTGTATTTCAAAGAGCACTGCAGCCCCCATAGTGTATCAACACTGTCTAATAATACACCTTTCATCAAGGCTTTATAAGTTGTATCCAATGGCTTTATTAGCTGTAAATAAACCATACTAATTATTTATAGAGCAGCAATAAGACAAACAAATTTTGGGTTGCCAGGTTCTAAAAAAAATCCCCTTGACTGGAGTTTATCCTTTCCTCCGAGCCCTTTTTCAAAAGGTAAGTGGCCACGCAGGCCAATCAGTCAAAGGCATTTTTCAAACAAGTTGCTATTATTAAAGGCCTAAAACGGAATTATATAGCTTTAGAAAATATTTCATTAACTATTGATACAAATCCGCTAGCTACAATAATTACCATGATAATAATTTCTCAGCGATGGAAGATGTTGCTCTCTAACCCAGTCTGACAACATTTCAGTCACAAAGTCTCCGGATATATTCAAGGTCAGTCTAACATATGAAATCATTTATTTCTTACATGGTTTAATAAAACAGCAATAATTATTTTTTGCAAACTGGATATAAACTTTGATACGATTTGACATGCCATTAATTTGACATAGTGTGGTTAGAACCAGTTCTACAATAGTGATTATGAAATAGCATTTATGGACAGAACAGATTTCACGTGGTTGAATTATTACGGTGACTTTGTCGCAGATATCAGCAGCTTTTTTTAAATCGGTTCATTCGATTTGGAGAAAAAGACAAAAAGAGAGAAATGCGTCTAAAAGCACTGCTTCAACAGGATGTGAAACAAACCAGTGACACTGAGTTGAGACACAAGATATCTGCGCTGTATTTCTGACAGCACAACGGCAGTTAAAGAAGATTTATTTAGTCATTAATGAAATGTTAACTCATGCCAGCTAGATGCATCTTAGTGCACATATGAGGACATGCATGAGCAATAACATTCAAGGAAAAACAACTTTTTCCTTTCAAATATAATATAGCTTCAACATGAAGGCGAACATGATCAGCATTTTTAATTATTAAGTTGCTCTAGTCTTTGTAATTCATGTATCATAAATATTTAGAAAAAGACAATTCCAAAGATTTCTTGCAAGAAACTCAGTTTTTGGTGACAGCAATGTAATCGATGATTGGTCATCAACACCAACAGATCTGGGCGAGATGAGATGATGTCTTCTGTCGCTCAACTGGCAAGCAGAGCATTTTTGTTCTTTTTCACTGTAAACAGCTCTCAACACTCTGCAGGCCAGATCATTTCCAGATCCATCCAAAAGTGCCATGTTTTGTCCTCAGACGCTCCACGATCACACTCAAAGGGAACAAGTACAGAGGCTCTCGTTCTATTTCAGTCTCTGGATCCTTCAGTGGGTCTCTGACTGAGTTTGTGACTCTGGTCCCCACTGGAGTCTCTCTCAGAGAGCTCAGCTGGGCAGCAGCCACGGCTCCACAAAGTCCCACTGCTTCCACAGGACGAACAGCAGCAAGGTCAGCAGCACGGTGGCGGCCACCCGGGCTCGGGTCTTCATCAGCGGGGTGATGAAGTTGGCCAAGGTGGAGACGAAAACCAGCAGCACGGCCATGAGCGCCAGGATGACGTTGATGAGTTTGCCCAGCAGAGCTCGAGCATTGGCGTTCTCCACTCCCTCCAGCTGGACGACCTGCTGCTGCTGCTGCTGCAGCTCCAGCTTGGTGATGCGAGTCAGGCACGACTCCACAGCCTCCTGTGTGCACACACAGAGGAACCACAGTGGGATTGTTTTTTTGTATTAAAGGCCCTGAAAAGTTACTTTCTCAATCAGCTTTTTTATTATGAATGAACACATTATGCTGTGGGTTTTTCAGGGCTTTACTCTTAATTAAGGACAACTAAGGATAAATGATATCATAGATATACACTTATGTATTAAAGGACAATTTTAAAGGGTTTAAATGTCTTCAACAATCAGATTTTACCTGAATGTCTCTTGCTCTCTCGTAGGACTGGTAGGCGACTTTTTCCTCCATGCTGGCGAGCTCCTGTTTAAGGTTAGTCATCTCATTCTGGTGTAGCTCCGTTAAGTCATTCAGCTGTTCTTCAAGTCGCTCATACCTGAATATACAGCACAAACACACACACAAGAAGTGTAATTACTCGCAAGCACACCAAAAATGTACATGAATCCGCAGATCAATTCGCTATTTGCTCTTGTTTGAGTAACATTTATTAAAAACTAAAATGTCCAGCTGGGAAAGTAAATTATTAAGTCCTTTTGTAAAGAACGATCATATTTGTGACTGTTTTGAAAGATTTATATCTTTAGTAGGAACAAATGGATCTAGGAATAGAAGTCCCACACAGCGTATGGATGGAGGTGTTTTCATATTTGTTCACAATAACAACAAGTATAGAATACTGCCAGTCTTGTCTTTCAAGTGAACTAAATGTGAGGACTGTATTGAATACGCCAGAGTTCATAAGTGTGACTGGCAAGGTATTTCAAATTTTTTTTTTGGGATGTGTACCTGTATCTTTCTTCTTGCAGGCACTGTGTCATGTAGGAGTAGTCACTCTGCAGCTGCCCCTTCATGTCCTCGATGGCATCCTCCATGTGCGCCTGACTGGCTTTGATCTCCTGCAGGCCCTCAAGAAGAGAGTCCCAAGAGCTGTGCATGTGATGGTGGTGATGGTGGTGTCCATCCAGCCTTGGGCTCCCCATGGTTGGTCCCAACAGTCCCCCTCCTCCCCCTGCACCACCTGAATTACTGCCTGCTGCGGAGCCGGACGAGGCGCTGGAGCACTCGTCGTCGCTGCCGTACTTTGGGCTGGAGACCAGAGTAGCACTTCCACTCAGTGCACGAGGTGTCAGGGTGTCCTCAGAGTGGCCCCCGACTCCGTCCTCAAGTGAGTCCTTCAGGTGAGCGATGTTATCTGCGCTGCCAAACTTATTCCTGATAAGACTGGCAAACTCCCTCGGCTTGGAGACCACGGCTGTGTGAGTGAGGGCAGTCACTCCACCTTTGACCCCTTCAACTACTCCGCCTCCAAAACCACTTATCCCAGCACGAACATTAGCCCCAACGTCCTTTAATCCCTGCTGCATGTCCCGCAGGACATCCTTAGGCTGCCGGGCCGGTCCATTCTGTAGAGAGGGAAGAGAAATGAGGAAGCAGAGAAGTGGAGGATCTCAAAGGTAGGAAAGATTAGGTTAAGGGAGAGAACTGCAGGGAGATAGATGAGGAGAGCAGGCCCTGTGGAGGATTAAGGTGAGACACAGGATGATGCATTGGTTCAGGAGATGAGAATCATCAGTCTATATTTGGACACAACTGTCCTCACAGATATAGTTCAACACTTGTTTGAGTCCGCCTTGAGAGATAATTATTCAAAACAGCCACAGTACAGAAACAGCTGCACACAAATATATTACATGTTCGTACACAATCTAACTGCACACACACACACACTTGCTCACCTACCTGCTCTATCTCCTTTAGCTTCTTGTGATAGTGCTCTAGTTTCTTGTGCAAGTGTGCGATGGTCTGTGCTGACTTCTGGTTCTTCTTCTCAAACACCTGCTTGATCCTGGACGCCTGCTGTTTGTCTGCGTTGTGGGCCAACTTCAGGTACTCGGCAACGTTGTCGTCACGGGCCTCCTGCTCCACGCGAATCTGCTCGGTGACCTTCAGGACCTTCTGCTGCAGATGCTCTAAGGCAGCACGTGTCCGCTGTGGCTCGCCAACTCCGAAACCCTCTGCACCCCCACAGGCCATGACCCCAGACGCTGATGCTGATGCTGAAGATGCTGCTGCTGCTGCTGCTGCTGCTGGTGCTGGCGCTCCGTCCGCACTGATGTTACTGTCAGAGCCTCCATGGCTGGTGGTGGTGGAGGGTAGGCCGAGAGTTGCCACCTCGCTCTTGTCCAGCTGAGGGGACGAGAGGGCAGGAGGGAGGTAATCAGGGGTGGAGAGAGTACTACAATACACAGTATAGTGTATTATTGACATGACTTTACTCAAGAAGAAGGAACATTACATGTATTGAAATCTATTCAAGTCAAAGTGAAAAGGAAGAATATTTTTGAGTAACAGGCACAGTGAAAGGGCCAGTGTCGCATCCTGATTGAAATTATTTGTGCTTTCTTTTTGAAAAAGCTTTCCTGCATGAAAAAAGAAGTCAATCTCAAACTTAATATCCATCTGATGGCACCATCAGATGGACAAACAGCCAAACTAAGCTGTGGGTTACTTATTAGTTTTTGGCCTTCCAAAAATATTTAGGCTTTCATTTACAACTCACTCATTACTCAATCATGTCCTAGAACTAATTATAGGGAAAATACTGTCGACAACGAGTTCAATTGGTACAACTTTAATTCATTCGTTTCAATGTGATCCACAGAGTAGTTTAGTCACGAGTGAAATGTGACATTTATCTAGAGACAAACATACAACTCAACAAATATGAGGATTCAAGCGTCCACATCTAAATGAACAATGAAAATATATTTACTTTGATGTAATTAGAGCAGGGTTTTTTTCAATAAATGCATTTGAAACATTAACAAATGCTGATAAACTCAACTGACAAAAATAAAACCCTTAACTTTCTCCATATTTTCTCTATGATTATCGTCAAATTGCAGAATTTGTAGGGAGGAAACGTCGAGGAGAGGAAACGTCGAGGAAAGACTCGAAAGAAAAATAGATACCTGTTAATCACTTTGGCTTCTGAAATGAGATTTAATCAATTACGCCTATAATTGATTTGGTGGTAGCCTACACCGAAAGGCCATCATGCATTAATTAGATGATATATAATTATAGTCTGCTTCCTGCTCTGCTCTGCCTCAGAAACTCTGCTTCACCAGAAAACAAGTTACTTTAAAAACGCATTTAAAAATGCATTTAAAAATGCATAAGGTATGCACGAGGAATAAGAAGGTAAAACACCCTGCATGGTACAGTTGGAATGATAGTGATGATTAAATATGTGATATTGCTCAATATTGTGTCTCTGAATGTTAATATCAGTGTGGTATGGACCATTCTGTCGGATTGATCTCTGAGCAAACATCTCATTGGTGCACGAGGGGCTTCCCTCGTATGTAGGATATCATCTATATGTGCATCTTGGCAGATGGCGGGATTGTTAATGACCCTCTGCCTGACGTCAAAACAGTGTAATCAGACCCTGCAAGCATGAGCTCAGACAAACACATGACAGCGACAAAAAAATCTCAAAGCGCTGCTCTAATTTCTACAGACGGGATTTATTTGTCTTTCAATTGCGTGACAGTGAGCTCGGAGCACGCGCTCCTCGTGCTATTATAAATCAGAGCAAGAGCGACGCGAGGCAGGCAGTGTTATCTTACACATATATAGATGTATACATAAACAAAATAGGTTACAATCACATTGTAATGGAGAGAGATGAAAAACAGATGAGTGCAGAGTCCCTGGTGGTTAATCGTCCCCCGATCTGGTCCCAGAAGTCAGATTCATATGCAGCAGCGATAAGAAATATGGCTCATACGAGGAGGGAGGTGCGGTGTCCGGCGTTACAAACAACAGGAAACAAACACGGAGCAAATGCTCAAATCTAACGGGAATGAATCCGGTGATGAATAAAAAAAAAAAAATCCCCGGAGGAAGAGGTGATGAGGATGGAGATGATAGATGCCTATGGTATGAAAAAGGGGCATGCCCGTCTCTTCTTCACTCGGCAGGAGGACACACTGTGACATGAGATGGATGTCAACGAGCGTGGATGCGAACACATGAGGATGAGACACAAGCAGCACAGCAATAAATTAAATTAGAAACGTTACCATACTGCTTTAATCCAATTTTTGCAGTGCCATTGCAAGTCTGTGTTCGAGGCCCATCCTCCTCCTCCTCCTCCTCCTCCTCCTCCTCCTCCCCCTGAGCTCACCGCGGAGGAGCCCCCCTCCTCAAATATCTTTACCCCCAGCCTTTATATGGCTGACTATCACCTCACTGGATCCTAACGCTCCATTGTTAGTGCCATCGATATCTGCAGCCTCCCCCCCTCCTCTCTCTCCCTCTAATGCACTGATCTGTTCCCCTCTCTCTCTCCTTTGTGTCATATGCTCCCTCCGTCTCTCTCTTACCTCTCTCCCGCACGCTCGCTCTCTCTCAGTCTAAATGCAAACGCTAGCTGTCCTGGCCTATAATGGATGTGGGAGCTAAGGGACAGATGATGGAGGGAAATGGGCGGGGGGATGGGAGAGCTTAGCGCAGGCGTGCAGGTGCCTCTGTGCCGCTGAGGCCAGAGGAGAGAGAGAGGAGAGAGGGAGGAGGGAGCACAGCAGGGCCTTGCTCCGGGCCCCTTCATCCCCTAAACCCTCAATACAAACACACGCACCCAGTGTGCGCGTGCTGATGCGGGGCCGCAGTGGTGTGGAGCCAAAGTACACAACGTCTGCCTGAGCAGTGACTCACTCTCTTAATTTACCTTCCTCACAGAGGAGGAGAGCGAATTGTTAGAACAGAGGCCCGTTTGAGCTGCTCGGGGCTGCTTGAAGTTGTTTTCACCCAACTTCAAATCTCTCTCTCTCTCTCTCTCTCTCTCTCTCTCTCTCTCTCTCTCTCTGTGCTGGCACGTGCGTCTGTGGAGGGATACCATCTACAAACAGAAGGCCGTCACCATCTGAGAAGCAAACATGAAATACATTTCAAAGAGGAAAAACAGCTTTCATCCACTCACAAGGTGCTGCATAAAAGTGCGGTAGTGGAAGTAGTCAGATGTTTTACTTTGAGAAAAGTAAACGTTATCTATACAAGTATCATCAGCACAATGTACTTAATGCATACAAAACAAATCAAAGTACTTAGGCCCCAGTATTGCTTTATTTATTATTACTGATGCATTAATATGAAAGTAGCATTTAAATGATGCTGCTGGTTGAAATGGAGCTCATTTTAACTACGTTATGTTTAATCTCTCACAATGTGTCTTCTTTTATAAGATGATCTTTAGTTTTGTAAGTTTACCAGCAGAGTAAATATCTGCAGCTGTCAAATACATGTGATGAAGTAAAATGTCCCTCAAGTTAAGCACAAGAACATAATTGACCTTAAGTAAAGCACTTGAGTGAATATACTTAGTACATTCAAAGTGGATGTTTAAGAATATAAAATAAACATTAAACTATGAATACACTGATGCCATGGTGTATGTTATTGGTGTAATATATTAATATATTTAAAGTTTTTAAAATATATATTTAAAGTTGTTTTTTTAAGTGTTAACCACGCACCTGATTGGCTGTAATTGCATACAATAGTACTATAAGGGGCACCAGAAATACTTCTGTTACCTTCAGAATAATCAATACTTCTGGCAAGACACTCTGGGAAGCAGCTAGTTAAACTACTTTCTGTGAGTTAGCAGAATATGAATGAATGAATACTTCCACCAATGTTGCCGATACATATAAACACAGTACAAATGAGAAGGAAAACACAAATAATGCAAAACATTCACAAGTTTCATTTGAACATTTTATTGGAATTTGGAATCGTCATAATAATCTACCAATAACAAAATGAACACGAGGCATAATGTCTCTCAATAAATAAGGATAGATCTTTCAATTTGTAGCTTTTAGCATAAAACAAAATGTACGACCTGTGCACAAGCATCTATGAACAGAAGTGCATTCATTGTTCGGGGTAACGCTGTTATTTGCGTAGCTCTGTATTTGCAGCGCTAAATGAACATTACAGTGACCTTGTTTGACACCCATTCAGATTAACCATAGCAGCAGGATTTACCAACATAAATAAGTGTCCAGAACAAAAGAATGTTTGAGGCAGATAACATATTAACTGTTATAATTGCACTATGCTTCCAAAGAATAAAGAACTTTAGCTTAGTAAATAATACACATTATTCTGATTGTCCTTAAAGGAGCTTCAAATACCCAAACAAGTCACTTGATACTGGGTGCTGTCGGCTATCAGATGTGCAATACTGCAATGTCTTTTTCTGAATATGCTACTTAACAGTGCTGCATTAAACTCTATAGATACATCTCTGAGATAGATATATATATATATAT